CAATGTATTTGGCCCTGAGCCTGCAAGCTGGCAGCTGCCTTTGTGTGTCGTGACCACTTGAAGCCGGAGATTTCACCAGGAGACACGTGCATGCAACAACAAGTGTGAACACAATCACACGCACACATAAGTACACTTGCACAAACAATTGGGTGCATATTTACATGCACAGAGACACGCACACACACACACACACACACAGAAAGGGACACACACTTCTAAATTGCGAGCAAATTTGTATAATTATGCCCCTGACACTGCCTCTCAGTTGGCTCTCTCATGCTGGCTCTCCAAACACTTCATCAGTTATCTTGTGTGTGTGCACATACACAGATCAAACATTTAGATACAACATTAATTCATATCAGATGCTGAGTAGCATGTACACATGCAAATGTAAACACACACAAGCATGTACAGGCACATAAATATGAGACAAATAGACATCCATGCACACAGAGTGGTTGTATTTTACAAAACCAACACTCTCATTGGGCCCTCGTATGCATAGATGAGGCACATCTGTCTGTAGACAGTCTGCCTACTGGATATAAAGATGCCACAAGTTGTCATGAAAAGTCATGTAGTTCTTAAGTTATCTTGCTTTGTTAAGTGTGTGTGTGATCAACTGTCCATGTTAGTAAGGCAGCTCATACTCTTGCAACTCTGTCTCCTAGGAATTGTGTTCATATACTATACTACTATCTACTAGTGCTGGGCAAAGATTAAAATGTGTTTTACATTGCGATTAATCGCATGATTTTCTGCGATTAATTGCATTAATTGCATTGTTATGTGCAAAATTCAATAATGAATTCTATAATGAAGTAGTGTATTGCGCACTTTTAATTTAAATGTACGGCTATATACACAAAAGTGCAATATCATGTGGTTTGCAAACACTTTAAACAATTAAGGTGCTTTTTACCAGCAGTATTCCCTTTACACAGTAGCAATAAAATATTTCTTGTAAGTCTCAACTTAAACATTAATGTAATCACATCAAATATAAAACAAAAGCTATTTGCCACTGCCAGGGCATTACCTTTTATCTAACTAAAACAAGTTACCACCAGAGCCACAATCATAACATCATAACAGCTACCTTCTGAGCAACAGGTTAACATATATATCGTAAAACTTCAAGTAATAGCCAAGTCCCAAATAGCAGCCTACCCCGTGTACTAGCCTGGTGTGGGAACACATTTTGACAAATAAACGCAGTAATAAACTCCATTAAACGCCTGGTCTGGTTTTTAAATAAGTTCTTTGAATGTATAAAACTTCTTAAACACTGCGGAGTCACCCGCTTTAGCTGCTTCTAAGTTAATACAAACATTAATGTGTAAACGTATGATCAATATGTCAGTATGGATATGCTACACATTGTTAGATCGGTTAGATTCTTCACAATTCAATCGTTCAGTTAAATTAACGGAAACAACAAGCCCCGAAGTCTAATTCTTAAAGATTTACTGGTGTAACCGACATGCTACAAGAGATGAAAAGGAAAAAACAGTGTTCCTTAAGTCCAGATGTGATTGATTATTTATATTCCTTTAGTCTGTAAAGGTCAAAAGAATCAAAACAGCTTTTCATAAAAATTTGTCCAAGTTGTGAATACTGTCAAGTGAAGTCTATCGCTCTCTGTCTGCTAACTTCTGCCACATTTCTCTTATCCTGCACCCTATTGTTGTTTTCGTTACGTTGCTGCCTTCAAAATAAAAGCACATAGCTCAGCGCTAGATCAAATGAAGTGTATTTGATATTGGATAATTTTTGTACAAGTAATATTCTGTTTGAAATAAATAAACTGTTTCATAGTAGCCTACTTCAGTTTTGTGCAAGTGGAATTAAAGGCCTGTCCCAAATATATGCAGGGTCAATTCAGTGACTTTAGCAAATAAATGCCTGGGCTATTAATCAAAGTTTTACTATAAATCTGTTTTCTTGTTGTTTTTTTTCTGAACAGGTATCAGCAGAAACATTTTTCTTTTATTAGGGAGCAGCAGAAACAGTCTATGTTCAGTAGCAAGTGTCCCTCTTAGAGTGAGGTGAAGTGGCTGCCTCACGCACATGCCCGCCCACCGCCGAAGTTCAATTGTCTTGAACTTGACGCGCAGCACAAATCATTGGAAGAGAGACTGATCCCCCCTGTTTGTGAGTTACCTAAATCTATTACTTTTAATAAATAGGAATTCGCATCGCAGAGCATCCTCGCAAAACTAGATGAAGGCTTATCAGGTAAAGTTATGTAGCCTATAATTCTATCCTGAGTTAAATAGGCTACACTAATCAACATGCAGTGTGTAGCTATCCACTTCGCTGTGGCATTTGATCGCTTGTCTTGCTTTTGTTTACCTACTTCTCCCACATGCTGCATCCAGCGTAGTCTGCCGAAGCCTCCCTCCACTGCTTGTTTGGGTGACTGATTTGCAGGCTGATCAAAATCCCACCCCTCCTGTGACTCATGGTTTGACTGTATGTGTATTCAGATTCACTTTCAAAATAATAATAATAAATACTGCATTAATGCGCTATAAAACAACTGTTGGCGTTAATTAATTAATGTGTTAACGTGCCCAGCCCTACTATATACATGTACAAATTACAATTTTTCGAAACAATGCTCCCTGGATTACGTTTTTAATCGACAAACATTTAAAATGAAAGTATTTGTCAACATATTTCATTTGTTTTTCTGACCGATTGTTTTCAGCATGTTAATCTTAAGCCAACTAAGTCTCAGTTAAAGTTTAGGGAAAGTTGTGCTCTTGGTTACATAATGGAAAAAGTCATCACTGACTTTGAGACAGGACATGTTGACTTTAATATTAAACCAAAACCAAGATCACTTACAGCAGTAGCTGGGTGCTAGAACACAGTCTCCTATATCAGAGTCCTGTGCTTTCACCTATCACTAAACTAGTCCCAATGACCTCTGTGTTTAAAGATTTTTTTTTTTGGAACAACATTGCTCCTGAATGCAATCTAGTAGACAAAATGTGTTTAGCAAATCAAATTAGTACTGTATATAAAATATGTTGCAGAAGAAAGGATTGCAAGAAAAGTCATTGCTCTAAGTCAACTTACACTGAGATTTAAATACTTTATTTGATATTTAAGCTAGGCCTTTTTCTTGCTGCATGTAAATGTGGGTTAAGAGTTGTTTTGTGTGTGGTTTGGTGTGTCTCTGTACACATTTTTGGACTGTGTGAATGAGATTTATGTCAAGTAGCCTGATCCCTCTCCTCCAAAATAAAAATTAACATATTCATTCAAGAGCAGAGCACTTGGGGGCAGAGATGGAATAGATGAGATGGAGAGATGCACGAAAACACACAGATATGACAGTCAAAGTCACTGCAAGGTCATGTTTACACAGATCCGTGTTTGGTATGTACAGTATGTCTGTAGGATAATTTTCCTGTTTAACCCTTTCTCCAACAACATACATATACATACAACTAATATCCTTTGCCTAATATGTTTAGGAGAAAATATAATTACTGCCTACATTAAATTCACATGAAACATTTAACCCAGTTCAGGAAGTGCCAGGCCTTACATGTGTTAGGTACAGCTTACATGACATTTATACCAGAGACTCAGAGACCAGAGTGGGACTCCTGCATCCCACATGTCATTTGTTTTAAGCTACTAAAACACTTGGTTATGTCAGGTGAAGATTGCACGTTTTGGTTAATTTTTAACCAAGATGACATTTTTTTCCCCCCAACTATACCCAGCTGCTTTGACTTGTCTTTAACCCTAAAAATGTCATCATCAATCATGCTTTAGTTGCCAGGAGTGGATATTGTGTGGAAGACAAATTAAATATATGTGTAGTGAATATTTTCCAGATACATTCAATTAAAATGTGTCCTAGTTATGTTGATATTTATTTATTTTATGTAGATAATCATATTTTTCCCTGCAAAACATATTTGTAGTTTGGAAAAAGTAATTGAAGCACAGGGTTACAGGGGAAGGGGTTATCATGATCTTTCCTGGAATACTGCACAGGGCCAAGCCATAAATGTAAAACCAGTTGTATCAATTAATCTCTGACGAAGATAACATTTGATCTGATTACAAAAAGAAAACTCAGTTTATTTTAAATGAATGTAATATTCTCTTTTCTTTGACATACTGTTATTTTGTTTCTTCTGACATACCACTGTATCTACTCAATCCGTCTTTGACAGCAGATATTGCATTCAAATATTAAACTTGATGTGCAGAGTGATTCCATTGCCAAACATGAGCTAATCTGTCACGAACGCAGGGCAAGTACTCCAGTGTGTCCTTCTTGTTGGAAATAATGGATGAAGAAGATTTATTTAATTTATTTCTGATGTACCAGGGGCTTTGTCTTAAAAATACAGGCCACTGAAGTCTTCAGGTGTAGCTCAAACCACTGTGCAAGGATCACTGGAGGAGCTGGACGACCTTGAAACATTAGCAAGCTGGATTACCAAGGTTGAACATTATTATTCCTCAGATGGATTGGAGGTTGAAGCAGCGGATGGATGAAAGAACAAAATGATGAAAAAGGGATGAGAATATGAATGGATAGCCACCGTTAAGGAGGGAAGAGTTTATAACCTCTCATTAAACTTAAGTCTGATGGATGGATGAAAAGAGGAGATGGAGGGGGGTGATGATGAAAACAGGAGAATTATGGGTGTCTCTTTGCCCTCATGTATCTTGTAGGTCTGGAGAGAAGGCGCTGATTGAATGGCTCAAAAATCTCTTTGGTTAGCCACTCTCATCTCGACTGCTTTGACCTGATCGAGTGGTAAATAATCCTCTCAAAGTTTCGCATAATTTGTCTCTTGTTAAAATTGGATGTCGAGCGATTTTTGAGAAGCCTCTTTCTCTCTCGGATGTCTGCATCTTTCCCCCTGGTTTGTCCACCGTTTTTCCTCCTCCCCTCTGTCATTCCCTGCTTTTTTCTCTGCTCTTTCAACTCATGTCTCCTGTCCTTCTCTTCACAGAATAACTTTCTGCCACCTGCCCTTCCAGAGTAAATGGTTGTACATTGGCACAGAACGAGGGAACATCCACATCGTCAACGTGGAGTCCTTTACGCTCTCAGGCTACGTCATCATGTGGAACAAAGCCATTGAACTGTGAGTGTTACTGCCCACTGATGCTGCTCTCTTAATGCCCCTTAAGTTCCTTGCTTTTGCTCTCTCCTTCGTCTTCTTCTTCATATACTGCACAATTTCTAATGCAGTATAGGTTTTGTGCCATATGGAGGGTGTTCTTATCCAAAAGGAGTCACTGATAAGTAGATCAATATTTGAACCCTGTAGGAATCAAACTGATATCGCCAGCACTGCAACACTGATCTCAGGGTCTATTGACTCACCTTGCAGCACTTAAGTGAGATGAGGGATGCTGTGTATTCAGCATTTTACCTTTCAGTAGGTTATTGTAGTTTTAATGTAATGAGATAAGCAAGAATCATTAGTCAGTCTATCATTTCCAGGCACAGTATCGGACTCCAGGAAGTGAGCGACCTGTCGCTTTGCTGTTTCAATGGATCTGTCTGCTTGACAGGCTCCATTTTGGTTCCCTGCTGTAGAGACTTAAATTATTCACTGGAGCATTTTGCTTCACGCTTTCCCCTCATCCCCTCCTGTGCGTGTGTGTGTGTGAGTGTGTGTGTGTGTGGTTGCAGAGAGAGGGGAGAGAGGAGGAGGGAGGGAGGGGGTGGAACAGGTGTCTGCCGAGATCAGTGTATGGTACTCACAGACGTCTCGTCTCGTCGACAGCGCTGCAGGGAAGAAGAGGCGAGAGTGAGTGGTGGGAGAGAGAGGAGACGGCAGAATGTATGACAGAGGAGACAGGAGTGGAATGGGTGAGACAGGGCTTTTGCCTGGGGAAAAGGACACGCAGGGAGGACGAGTGATGAAGGAGAGGAATGGAGCGGTGACAGAGGGATAAATGCAGGTAACAGAGGGCAGAGCAGGAGATGGTTCAGAAGAGGAGTCATGTGGATAGGTGAGGATAGAGAGTTAGATGCAAAAGTTTTCCGATTAAAGGGGGGGAAAGGACAGAAGAGGGAGGTACAGAGTGACAAAGACGAGATAGAGGGTAGATGTGGACGATAAGATAGAGAGGTAGATACTGGGGTGCTACTTGTCGGAAGGACAAGCAATACCATTGCTTAACTCCTCTTTTCCCCCCCTTCACCTACAGTACCTTCCGCTCCTCTTCACCTAGACATCAATGTGTGTTTCCCCTGCCCTTCCACACATTGTTTCAACATCACATCTATTCCAAAGCTGTTCCTGTGGTCATGAAAAAGTGCTTTCTATGAGGCACCACCTTATTATTATGAAGAATATGTGCATTTGTATATTTAGTCATCCTGTCTGACACACAGTCAGCTGCCCTACCTGCTAAGCCACAGCCGCCCGTGAAAAGGGTAATGTTGTTAGGAGATGGGACAGAAAGGACCCAAACGCAACACTCAGAGGGAAGGAGGTTTTATTGAGGGTTCACGGAGGGGGCTAGAGAAGAGGTGAGGGAGGAGAGGTGGACGCCAGGGGACACGGGCACGGAGGACCGAGGAGCAGGGAGGAGCCGGGAGGGCGCCGTGGAGGAAGCCCAAGAGGTGAGGACCGGAGGATGAGCCCAGCCCCAAAACAAGGATCATGAGAGCCTGGACGTAGAGGTGGCACCGGGTAAGGAGCAACGACGATCAAGCGAGGATGGTGTGGAGAACCGGGGTTGAAATACAGTCTGGGATGAGGTTGATTACTGGCAGGTGTGGCAGGCTGACGAGGTGGCTGATGAGGTGCAGGTGTAGGTAGTTGGCTGGGCTCAGGAGCCGAGGGAGAGAGGAGGAGAACACAGGGAGGCAGGCAGAGCAAAACAATGGGTGAAATAAAGTGAGAAAAAAAAAGTAAAACCAGGACACTCACCGTCAGCTGGGCTGTCCCCACAACAAATGTGAAAGCATCCCTAAAGAAAAATCAGGTAATTTCAACTATAAGGACCTGTACCCTCATGGTGCTTTATATGCAAAAGTGAAATATTATTTAGAAAACACACAATTATGTATAAATGTTAAATGTTTTACTATTTTCTGGTTTGGTGGCAAATCCTTTTTGACTACATGAACCATAACCTCTGAAGGGACTTTCCTAAAAGGTAGATTAATCCTTCCCAAAACACTGGAGTTTATATTAGAATTAGAAATAGAACCTTATGCCACATTCACATCAAACAAAAGGTCACACAGCCTGTTAGAGGAATTTTAAATGGCCTCAATACCCACCTTCCTCGACATCACAAATTACAGAAGCAGTAAACATTACAGCAAGTACACCACCATGTTGCTAGTCGAAGATAATTTAATAATCTAAATCTCTGTTTATATTTTGCAATAATACAATGACACGTACATACAAATGTACATACAAGTGACATACAGTGTGCTGTAATATGAGCCATATTGACCTTACATATGTGCTCCTCCTCTTTCTTTCCTCTAACACATTCTCCACATTCTTTCCTCTAACCTCCTCAGCCCACCCCAAGATTGTACAAATCATCATACATCGTCTAACTTAACATTCTGTTCCGCAACAGCTTTGTTAAGCCACAAAACCTTCCTTGACATGTTGTTGTTTGCATCCAAACTGTAGCCCTGCACAATAACTTTGAGGGAAATTAGGTTTTGGTACAGGCCCCATCACTCACACAGCCATTCTGTGGGACACGAAGAAGGCCGGGAATATATTCTTGTCACAGATGCTCTCAGTTTGCATAGCTGTTGGATTGTATGACTGTGTGTCTATGGTTTGCTTTGATGCAGATCAGAGAGGCATGAGGTGATTCTCTTATTCTCTCTCCTTGTGTCTCCCTGCCAGCTGTGGGGTTTGTAGGGTGGCAGTCCAGATACACTGGCCCCTGTACCTTTCCCATTGTTCTCTTCTGATGCTGTCATCAGAGGAAGATTGCACTTGATCTAAATTAACGAATTAGCACTGTAGCGATAAGTCAAGTGACGAAAATGTACTGACAAAAAAATCTTTACCGTTGAATAATTGTTTATTTAATAGTTTGCTGGTTTACTGGTTGCAGTTTCTCAGATGAAAGAAAGTACTGCTTTTCTCTGCTTTATATCATCATCTGAAATGCAAAAACCCTGAGAGAGCCCCTTTCCTGCACCGCAGAGCATATGGGTTTTCTTTTATAGAGAGGATACTACAAACTATAAAGTGTCACAACCGCTCTCTAGGTGCTGATCCTGCGATGGCCATGATTGGGGGAGCTAACCATGGCACTCCGTATTTGACTTGTCCTCATTACTCACTGTGGCAGAGTTCAGGATTTTACACGAAGTTATTGTAAAAAAGCCCACCTGCACACACAGCTTAGATTGTAACACAACTTTACTGTGAAGAACAAGCTTTTCCTTTAAGGCCATATTATTATTATTTTTTTTAATCGCCAGTGCCATGGTGCTTCTCAGATATGTTTTAATTAGTTTCAGTTTTGAGAGGAACACTTCACTCACAGGTAAATTAACCAATAGCCACATCACCGGCTGTACACATAGTGCTATTGAAGCAATCTTTCATATATTTTATATCAATCCCTGCCCACTGCACCTCTGTTCTACTATCCTAGGATATGGTGTGTACTGGGGTCATCATCCCTCATCATCCAAGCTGCAGTAGCTGTGCCAGTGGCCCCAGGCGTGGCTAGGCCAGTTCTCTGTGTGTTTGTATGACATGACTCATGCCTCTGTTCCCAAGCTACGGTACTGAAAAGACGATTAGACAAACACATATCCTACAGTAAATAACCAACGGCATTGCGCTATAGTTCAGTCAGTGCTATAGGCGTTAAGGACATTGCAGTAAGGCCACATGTGAATCTGTGTTTGTTCATAAGCATAATTTGTATGCATGTATGCACTGTATATGCAATAATGTTTATTTATTTATACCTGGCAGCATCTGTTTGTGTTTGATTTGATTCAGCTATACGGTCACTGGCTACAGTGAGCTTGGGGGGAAGTGGAACAGGAGTGGTCAAATCTTAACAGCTTACTATGACACATCGTTCACATGAACATGTTGGCCTGAGGCCTCTTCTGTCCTGTCCCCTTTCATTTTCTTCCACTCTCCCACTAAGGACCCTGAAGCTATTGTGAATACTTTTTTGAACATTTTTCATGCCTCTACGTATGTTCCACTGTATTGTGTTTTGCATGTACTGTACTACTAGGGAAAAGTCTCAGCCTCCAGTATCCTCAAAACCATTTACAGTGGTTCCAGGAAACCCATGTTGCAGATGTAGGGCCAGTACAGTGACCTTTCCTGGGAGACACAGCCTTCCAACACCAGATGCACTTACAGATAAATAGTAAAAAGTAAAAAGGCAAATGCTGCTTTAAATCATCTTGTTCAGTACAGTTCAAAGATTTGTAGTCATTGTTTATTTCAATGTTCATAATGTGCTGCTTTTGACTGTCTTCACTTCTAAATTCAGTCTGTTGTTTACTTAAACTTTTTCATTCAGTTAAATACAAAATTAAACTAAGCACTGTTTATGTAGATAAATAGCTCAGCAAAGACTTAGCAACACACAAAAGTTAGGTAAGGAGATCAATACCCATCTTATATCTGTTGGTTACATACAGTATAAAGCTCCCATACAGCTAGGAAACAGTTAGCTTAGCTTGGCATAGACACTGGAAACAGGGGAAAACAGCAAGCCTGGCTCTGTCCAAAGCCCACCAGCATCTCATTAATTAACATGTTATTTCTTGTTTGGTCAGTCAAACTAAATGGGAAAAAAGTGTATAACCTTTATTTAACAGTTTTATGGGGATTACACGATTTAACTGCAACAGAGTCATCACATAATGGTTATTTGTCTCTGTTGCTTTTGCTGTCTTTCAGCAAGTTTTTAACTGGGAAGCAGCATACACTGTGTACCATGGCTAAGCTGACAATGACACTGTCAGTCAACAGCAAGAGGGGAGCTAATGCAAAATGCTGAGGATTTGATATTTAAGTTTTGTTCATTCATGTACTGAAAACCTCTACATGTACCTGTATGGGAGGATCAGTACAGCTGGGCACTTTAATGAGAAAGATGTTCTTCACGCTGGAACAACCATACATAGCAATCATGTATGGTTACATGAAAAAGCATATATATATACAGTGTATATATATATATATATACAGTGTATATATACATTGATGACACATTAGCCTCAAAGATGAGCTTTGCACAAACTCCTATGCAATAAGACACACACTCACAGTCTGCCGAGGTGACATGAGGCCACATACGGTATGGGCGTACTGCAAACGGGCTGTTTAAGCCATGTTGCTGCGGAAACACTGTCATGGTGACTGCACTTCCGCTGCCTCAGAGAGTGTCACCCGTGGTGACACCAGATGTTCAGGGCTTCACTGTGCATGTGTGAGTTTACATGTGTTAGTATTAAGCTCTCAAATATGAATGCTGAAATAATACCTGTGCATTATATCAGATTTATTATATATTATTTATTATCAGAAAATACCTTTCTTTAAATTCACTTTTTCCTGTCTTTTTTTACGTGTGTGTATGTAAGAGGACATGTGGCTGAAGAGTTGTTTCCAAATTCAATAAGGTGCTACTCTTGCTTTTTAGTATGTGTGTGCTCAGGTCTTTGTTAGTGTGTTTGCATCATATTCGCACAGCAATGGTCCATTTTCTTTGATGTGCGGAAAGCATCACGGGGTGGGATGCATATTTGATACACCAAGAAGGATTTGGTGCAATAAAGGTTTATAACAGATGACCACTTGAACTGAAGGTGCCATGGGGTGAAGATTGTGAAGATTTGATGATGTACCGAACAAGAATTATATTTGCCATGGGGCATTTAATTTAACTCTAGTAGTCGGGTGTGTGTGTGTGTGTGTGTGTGTGTGTGTGTGTGTGTGTGTGTGTGTGTGTGTGTGTGTGTGTGTGTGACACGAAAGACCTTGAATCTGTAGCTGAAAGACAAGAATGTGATGCCCATAACTGTGAATGATACTATGAGAATAATGGCATGTTCACAGTCAAACAAGCATGCGCATCTATCTGCATGATCATGCAAAGACTCACATACACATCCTTAAATGTTCTTGTCCCTGAAGAGCTTTTTTCTCCGTATTCAGAGCGCAGTCATTAGCAGTACACAGACAGCAATGTGTGGTTACAGGAGCGTGCTGAAGTAGTTAAGCATGCGTTGTTTGTGTGTGTGTGTGTGTGTGTGTGTGTGTGTGTGTGTGTGCTGGGGGGGGGGGGGGGGGTATGGATGATTTTTGGGAGCCTGTCTGCGCTCTGCCCATCCTGCCTCTGTTGCCATGGTGATTCCTTTATCTCCTAACCTGAACATGCATTTGTGGACTTTGCGAATGTGTTCATGTCACATTTATTTACTGTATAATAACGGGGTTTTAACAAACAGATTTGCTTTGTTAGACTCACAGGGGAACACAGAGAACATAGCGCATAAGATCCTAAAACAAGAGAACCACGCGGGATAGGAGGGCAAAGCTTTTATGCGTACAAGTTGCATTTTGTTATTCAGCAAGAGGGTAATTGTTTGTTATGGATATAGGTTGTACAAACGGGGTGGGTGTTAAGATGTGTCTTAATTGTGCCGACATGCAAATGTGTGTGTTTGTGTACATGCGCGTGCTGCTTTGGATGGCTGTTAGCTGAGAGACAGGCAGTGAAGGGGGATTAGATAAATCAACAGCTCCAGCTGCAGCAGAGCTTAGGTAATAAGGCTCCAGCACAAACAGGCTAAATATAGAGAAAACTGACTGACTGCCTGCCTGCCCACTAACTGCTACCTCTAACACACACACACACACATATAGTAACAGGCGACCAAATCAAACGCACCATTAACTTGAAACAACTCAACAAAACATACAACATAGGCCTAGTTTTTAGGCATTTTAATGTATTATACCTTTAAAGAAAAGGAGTTTATATTAATCCTCTGCTAATAGATTTCAATCAAAAACATGTAACTTGATTTAAATATATACAGTTTTTATACTTTATATTATCATCAGCATGTCCTGCACTTCACTGTCTGACTGTAAGTTGAATAAAAAACTCTGCTGCTAAGACATGGGCAAAAACAAGGAGACATCCTCTCCTTGTCAGGCATCTCTGCCCTTGCTCCCTTGTGCTGGGGTTGTGTTTCAGGCTCTAACAGTCACTGTTTTTGAGCTGTGACCTTCCCTTACGCTCCTCAGCCCACATCTTCTCTTTAAGGGCAGGGCAGGTTTGGTGAATTCTGCAGCCACATGGCACACAGAGAGAGGAGATTTGACATAAGGCTGTCTGGAGGGTAAAGCACAGACAGGAGGGGGAGAGGAGGGGGCAGCCGAGCATTTTGTGCTGTCTTCTCCGCTGACATGCAAATGGACACGCACATACACATAGCCATTGGGGGCTGCCTGGCCTGACAGAGCCATCCATCACAACCTTAAGTGAGCTTATGTCTTTGAACAGCCTTTTAGAGCCTTGGAGTGATTGGCAGCTCTGTCCTCCCTAGCAGACCTCTTCCACAGGTTCAAAGACACTTGCTTCCCACCTTAACCATTCCCATATATCACTATGAACTACACATCTGTGGCCTTGTTTAGATTTCTGAGTACTGCGTGTCTCCGTCTTTGTCTCTCTCATAAGGTCCTCCAAGGCTCACCCTGGACCAGTTGTCCACATAAGTGACAATCCCATGGATGAGGGAAAGGTAAAGGAAACAAAATATTTTTTTCTCTCCTCACAAACATGTAAATACCTTCGAACTCGAAATACACACGTTTTTAATAATGTATTCATTCTCTATAGTATACCAGTCACAGACAGCAAATCCATAAATAGTATCACACTGCACACCTGCACCATGGTTTCACAAGCATTTAGTTCCAGATAGGACCTCACAGACAGCAAGGAGTTGTGTCATTGGTGAAAGTTAGGTGTTTGTAATTGCAGTGAGAATAGACAACCAAGAATCTGGTCGTTGAATTTGATGATTCCATCAGCACGTGTAAATGAAATGCATGAAATTCTCCAACATGTACACTTTAAGTTTTACTCATTAATATGACAGTGAAGTTACTTGAAGCTGCTTATAGACTGAAAGAAGGTCTTGACTTGGAGAAGTTGGTTTGCTCGCTCTCTCTAGACATTTTTGTCACCTACCACTGTGATTTGCTTGACTTTTTAAACAATGTGAGAAACAAAGTAAGGTGACTAACTGAGAAGACAGATCATTTACCACACCCTCTTGTATACATTTCACTTTACCTAGGTTATTTTTTTTTTACACTGTGCATGAATACAGCCTCGTCATGATTTAGGGTAATTTCCATTGCACAGCTAAAAAAGGGCCCGTTGCATTCAGGTGATCTGCTTTAGTGATACATATTTCTATTTTTTTTGGTATTGAGATTAAGTGTTTCTATAAATAAGTCTTCAGAAAAAAATACACTTTCTGTTCTAAAAAAAAAGTTTCTGCATTCTCTGTTATTATCTCTTATGAACCAAGGCGTGGAGGTTTCTTCCTCAGCCCCTGTAGTCTCCTTACACCTGACTTACTTTCATGCCGCGCAAGAATGTCAAATGTATTACTTATTTTTCAACCCATCATGGGGTCTATTCTATCTCTTCCCTGTCATCTCTCCTACCTATCTCACTGACTGCCTGTCACTCTTCCTTTCCAGCTTATAATTGGATTTGAGTCTGGGATCGTGGTCCTGTGGGATCTGAAATCAAAGAAGGCTGACTATCGCTACACTTACGATGAGGTAGGCAAATCTCCCCTCTTCCCTTTCTTCTCTAACAGCTCTCAGTCATTCCTCCCACTTCTGATCCTCAGAGTATCTTTTTAATACAGAAACTGGGAATTAAATCACATATTCATGAACTGAACTGTAACAGCTGTGTGTGTGTGTGTGTGTGTGTTGGAGACTTTATTTCTAGAACAAACCTAGAATTTGAGTTAAGAAGATCCCACACACATACTGTACACAGACACACACCTCGGAGTCTCCTCTCTCATGTGTTGATAGTCCAAAACGAAAGTGCTGAGAAGAAATATTTTTTTAACTTCCTATTTCATCTCACTAGGATAGAAGGGGACAGGTCTGTCTTCATAGGAAACAACTGTATGTGTTTAATTAAGATGAAGCAGACGTTTGGTTTGCCAGAGGAGAGTTTTACAGCCAACTCTAACTGGACTCACTAACTGGATTTGTGCTATCCAGCTATTAGAAAAATGAAGGCGCTCATCAGTAAGTAATTTCTCAAAAGAAAAATTAGTAAATTTTGGGAAATACACTTATTTGCTTTCTTGCCGAGAGCGAGATCATTGATGCAGACCTCATGTCTGTACAATAAATATGAAACTATAGCCATTAGTGGCTGACATAGCTTAGTACAAAGACAAGTAGAGAGAGCTAGCCTGGCTCTGTCCTGAGGTAACAAAATCTGCCCACTAGCAATCAAAAAAAGAGTCAATTTGGCTAGTGCTGCAGTCACAACTACAGACAATATGTTTTCCACATGAGTAGTGCCATTTATAAAGAAGAGACAGTTTGTGAAATTAATGTTTCAACAATGTCTTTATTTATAGAGTAGAGGGCCATGTGTTCATGTCTCCAGAGTGAGGTTGCAGGGTTGCACAGTGATGTGTGCGTTTGCATATTATGGTTGTAAAAAGAGCAACGTTCTTTTAAAAGGTCCACCTTTTTAAAGCACTGAATCATGTGGCATTATTGGCTCCCCCAGAGGCAATAGTGTGCACCTATAAATAAAAGAAGAGACAACAGTAAAAAAGAGACACAATATCAGCGCTGCTTAGATCCCTTCTGGACATGGCATGTGTCAAACCTAGACTGCGTCTGTTATCTCCACTCATGTGGTTGCTGTATTTGGAATGTTTTTATGATCTGTTATAGATGTGATAAAATGTTCGACAGCCTGTTTTTTTGGTGTAGTTTTGGTAATTGGATATTTAGGAAATCTTGGGCCCATGTAGATTTACTCTTTGGGTCTATCTTTAATCTATTTCTGCTTTATCTGAACACAGTCTAACCTCCCACAGTCCATGGTCCTGTGAGGGACCAAGCAGTTAAGCAAAAGGAGTCACAAGGGAAATTCAAAAGTAAGGGTTTTTATTTGCCAAAAATCATTACAACAAAATAAAGGTAAAGGTTTGGGCCCATAAAAGAGGTCAAATAAACAAACAGTAACTAAAGCTCTGAACATAAGAGACTCAAAAATACAACTGACCTACTACACAAGAAACAAAGGGGACTTATATATTGGCTGATCCAACCAATTTTGACACACAGGGGAAGACTAACAACAACAGCACTACTACATAACTACAAACAACAACAAAACCTACCTAAAAACTTATTCCAAAAGAAATGTACTTTTACTTAACCTTAACTCAAAATACTCAAATATAATATAAATCTAAACCCCAAAATATCTAATGAGAGAATAAAGCCACTCCCCGGACATAACAAGAAGTGGTGGTGTAACAATTAGGCCACCTCTCCTATAAAGCTGCTCCTGCTCCAAGTGTCAACCCTTTAAGCCATCAGACTTCCTGGATCTCTCCCGGGTGGCATCCCACATTGGTAAGCTCAGAAACAAAATTATACAAACAAAATGACAATCCAAAAGTAACTAATGGTGCGCGCTCCCAAAAAGATGCTTCTGTATAGTCAACTAAATAAAGTATAATGTGAAATGAACTAAGAGTCCTGTAAGTTATTTGTAACCAAATAAATATTTGCAACAAATGTCTAATGTGTATGAAAAAGGTATATAAACTAATCCTAAAGAAAACTGCTCTTCACCTGGTTGTGAGGCCATGGCTGTGGCCATCAGAGTCTTAGTGGGAACTGAATATGGCTATAAAGAGGAGAACTCATTCATAAATTTGTCACTGAGGTTTAAACCGACTGAATGGTTGCGAGCACACACACACGCAAGCGCACACAGTCAACATGTACATGGTCATTCAGTGGTGTCCTCAGTGCTTAGACACAGAGCCAAACGGGCTGTTAAAGATAATGAGATTATTGTAACACTCATGCTGATGCTCACCTCATTGGCAGGTTATGTTGCTGTGAGCATACTGAGATAAGAGTCACCGAGGACTACACGGACACACAAAAATGAGAGTGAATTTTGTATGTTCGGTATGTACTGATGCTCTCTCTCGCTGTCTTTGCTCTTTCTCCCCCTCTCAGATAATCTAATATCCTCTCGTTGCTCTTAGGGCATTACATTCTCTAGTAATGAATCTCCTAAGGGAGCTCATCTCTTCTCCCCAAACCCCTACAGTTACACATCTCCAGAGACCAGGGTTTTGTGTGTATGTGTGGGTGGGGGGGTGTACTGCTTCTCATTTTGCTCACCATGATTTGCACTGCAACACAACACTTTTCAGGACATGGAAGAAAATCCTTGTGTTCTACTGTGCTGCATCGTTAGTGAAATGTGGTTGTGATTGCGCCATGACTTTTGTAAAAGCACTGTTGTAGACAGGCTGTAGATAATAGAAATTCTGTTTTTAATCACAGTTGCTAAAATGTGTGTTTTAAACAAACACTACATTTTCAAAATTTATATATTGAAGTTGTAACAGATTTGAAAATCAATTTTATATTACTCATTATCATCATTTGGAGATGAGGATTGTACTCTAGTGTGGGAGACCCGGGTTCAGTTACCACTGCGACACATCCACCATTGTGTCCCTGTGCAAGACACTTAACCCCTAGTTGCTCCAGAGGTGTGCAACCTCTGACATATATACGCTTTGGATAAAAGCGGCAGCTAAATGACTTATTATAATTTTCATGGATGCGATAAGCTATTTCTAGCCTCCACTGATTGGTGGACTTTCAGGTGATGTTTATATATTGTATGCTGTTGAAGTTGTTTGATAAATTAATGTTACCTGATGATGGTATACTGAACCAAGCATAGTAAGTTTCATAATACGATTGACAGGTTGTGCAGGATTTAGACTAGAAGTTTTAAGTCTGCATACAATATATATAGAGAGATACAGGCCTACAGTATGTGATGAAATGGCACTGGTGTACAGGCATACTTGAGTTATATGATCTATCTATATTGCTCCCTTAATTGGGAATGATGACAGCTGAGCTAAATGTCCAACACCAAGATGATTGCTATGAAAACATGTGTCTAATTTGAAGATGTTTTGCACTACTTAGCTCATTCCTGTCATTAAACATATCTCATATTCATTATAAGCCACTGATACGGCACGGATTAGTTGGTACAGTTGGGATTGTTTGCCATCAGTCGCTCATGAATGTGTGTAAGCGTCATCTCTGTATAGCTTTTGCAAACAATACTGTAGGGTGAAATAACTTCTTAGAGCCATCAACCCCATTGCAAGCTATATTCATCCTGCTGTGCGCTTTCATTCAAACGCTATTTGCCTAGAAACTTGCTGCCAAGTATCAAAGTTGTCGACTGAAATGAATAACGAAGCTTTTCCGCCTCTTCTTTTAAACAGCATAGTAAGTCAGTAGACTATGCAGTGATAGATTCAGACTTTGGAATGAGCATGTCTTAAAGTATATTTTAGTGTTGATGGAATTCTGTAGGGGTTGAAACAAGTGAAAGGCAGTCTATGGTCTAGGTTTTCAAAGGATAGAGATAAATGTTTTTGAGAAATGTCTGCTCCTTTATTCTTGGCACAGTTTTTGACAACTTTTGCAAATGTACTCATACAACCTCAGCAAGTAGGGTGCACATAAGGGAAATAATGATATTGTTTTGACTGAAATTAAGCTATTGTTAGTTATAGATGCTGTCATACTGCAGAAATGTCAGCAAATCAGGGAACTTAACCTGGCTCACAGACAACAACAGAGTTTCCATTGAGTTCAGACAAACGAAAAAGGCAATAAAACTTTTGTTTTTACAAGCTCTAAAAAAGCTGAAAGAGCACACCTTCCACTCTGTGTCTTTCAGTGGATTGTGTGTTATTAGCTGTGGATCAGCAGTATGGGCTTCCAGTGAGTGTTAGCCAGAGAGCATCCGTCACCCCGACCATGCTCCACTCTGCTTCTGTCTGACTCAACACCTTGGTTTGAGTCCAGCCCTGTCGAATGGCTCATATTACAGGCAGATCGGAGTTTCTACTTCCTTCCTTCCCCTGCTGTTTGTATACTGTTGGCTGTTGCTTGCTAAATGAAAGCAAGGATGATTTATTTATATTTATGTGTTATACCTTCAAAAGGCCTTTTAGTCAAACTCACTAATTTAATATTTTGTCTTGTTACACAAACAAGGAGCATGCCACAATTCTCAGACCTGTTATTGAGGGCCAACAATAACAAGTGTAAACTTATTCCCACAACCACCAAGCATTAATTCATTGCCAGGCTATACAAAAAAGATTGAACTGTTTTGCCAGTGGACGAATTAGTGTTATTAACAAATTTTAACACCATAATTCATATAATAGTAAACAACTATTTTTGAATGCAGGTTCAGTAAGATTTAAAACAAGTTGATGTAGACATATTAGTAGCACACTGTAGTTCCAATTGGGCAAGGTTGTCCATTGGACAATACATTGGCAGAAAGATGTTTCTGAGGTATTCTTTTTGTTGGACACTCTATTTGATGTCCTTGAATTGTAAATCCTCCCATCTGGCTGTCTAAGAATATTAAAAGCAGATGCTACAAATGATTGGCAAACTGTACCTGACACGAGCCTGGCTTCATTACGAAGTATTTCCTTTTCCCCTAAGACCTGTCGAGAACAGACAGATACTTTTACCATTCAAAGCTGATGGGTCATTTGGCAAGTCTGGCGCAATATCCATTACTGGATAGAATATAATTCTGTATATGATGGTCAGTCTCTGTGGGGGTCTATTCATCAGGATGAATACTCTTACTCTTCATAAAACTAATTATTGTTGCAAGACTCAGTGTCCCGCACACTGGTCTGGCAACACATTTGTTGATGAATTTATTTTCCTATTGTGATTCCTAAGATAAATTAAGATGTTAAAGGGTTTTTTGTTGGCCCAGTGCTTTGGTCCAGAGTGAAATATTGGAACCATCATTGGATTAATTGGATTGGTCTCTAGAGGATGAATTTTATTGGTCTCTAGAGGATGAATTTTATGTTACGTTCAGCTCGTGGGCTGAACGCTGGTAACAGGAGTTTTGGGCTCAAATGCACGCACTGGAGAAGAGCAGATAACTCATATGTGATTTATTAAACCAAACTGAGAAATTACAAAACATAGTCCAATAAATGTAGCTTGCGAAAAGTCCAAGTGGCCAACAGAAAGTAAAAATCCACAGCGAAACACAGGGAACAATCCAAAAACCATGAAACATGGGAGAAACTGGGGCGCAGGAAGAATAAACCGGAGTGAAAACAATAAACTGGCACTGAATGAACGGAGTAAACCACTGAAATACACCTGAAGAGAAGAATATAATCACTGACACCACAGACAATCAAAGAGACAGACACAGGAAGTAAAAGAAGTCAACACACGCTAGGGGTAGACAAAAACTACAACAGGAAACACGAAGCTCACAGAAACATACAGGGAAAGAAATCACAAAATTAAACAGAACACATGGCACGAGTGTCCTACCAACAAAACATGTTCAAAGGCAAAGAACACAGACATTTGAACAAGACCAGAACACTAGGACAGACCAAAAATACAACATAACACAGGAAACACACCCAACCAACCCAACCAACCAACCTTTAACCACTTATTCTTTAGCCTACGGGACGCTACCGCTATGTAGAACATTCATGGACTGCTGGTACTTTTGTAAAATATGTATCATTACATTACACGGAACAATGACAATCACAAATAGTTTATTGGTAATTTAGGCGGATTAAAGAGTTAATGACTTTTGTGATTTTTCAGCTAGCATCACCAATATGTCAACATTTACTTATGTCTAACACTTTTTTAATAATATACCTCCAAAACTAAAGACAAAAGTCTCTGTTGTTGTCTGTTTTCTTGCTCCAATCACAATCGATGATGGTGCATCATCTATTTTAATGCAAAAGTAATTATTTGCAGTTAATTGGTATTACAAAAAGGGATTGCTCTATGGAAATCTGTTGACATACTTGGCCCCATATGCTTGTTTTTTTAGATTAAGCCTTTTTTGGTTAAATGTTTTTCTACTTGAGCTGAATTACCACTGCTGTGAGAGGCCCTGCGTGTGTGTCTGTTTGGCACTTCAGGGCTAAGCTGTCTTTGTGTCTCTGTGTGACACACTGCTGGCAGAAGCTATTCTAATTAGGGCTGTGATATGTGTTCTTATGTGTAGGTCTATTTTCCTTCACCAATCTCGGTTTGTGTGTTTGTTTTCGTCTTTGCCATGAATTCAAGTGTGTGTATGTATGGGGACACACTTGCTCGTCTAGTTGTGTGTAGTAGCGTTGACTCAATTCTCTCTTCCCCCAAAAGACCAATCTATGAAAACTGACCTAATGTAATAAATCATGAAATTAGTCTTTTTAATTGGTATTGTTTGATATGATGAGTGCCATGTGTATCTATTACCCTTCTCATTTTCCAATTAAACACAGTGCATTGTTCCCTATTGGGACTGTCACAGTGAACAATGCACTGATAAGTTTCTAGAACTCAGTCTGTTGCTGTCGAAACATCTCTGAATGGGTGAATGAGGCTTTTTCTCATTCAAAGTGTGATAAGTTTTAGCATGTAATATCACATCCTTTATCTGGGCTGCAGTCAGCATTAGAGCTAAAATGTACTTGGTTGATTAATCAATTAGTCAATCGACAGAAAATTAATCGACAACTATTTAGATAATCGATTAATTGTTTTAGTAATTTTCTTAAAGCAAAAATGTAAAACATTGCTGGTTTAATCTTCCTAAATGTGAGGAATTGCTTTTATTATTTTGACTTTAATTCATTTATGATAGTAAATTAAGGTCTTTTGGGTTTTGGACTGTTGGTTGGACAAAAGAAGCAATCTGAAGACGTCACTTTGGAAAATTGTGATTGGCCTTTTCTTTCCAATTTCTTGACATTTTATAGACTCAATGATTTGTCAAATAAATGTGAAAATAGTTGTCAGATTAGTTGATAATGAAAATAACTGTTAGTTGCAGCCCTAGTCCGCATAAGGAAAAAACATCTTAGACCCTCCTCTCCACTGGTTTCCACAATCACTAATATGTCATCTTTGTTAAAACTTCTGTCATCTATCCATAAATAAAAATGAGTACAATACCTATGAATCCCTCCCTATGCCAACCTCAGGTCCCAGATCCCCAATAATTTGCTCTATATGTCTAATTATACGTACAACTTACCCAATGTGGGATAATTCTCTTCAATTCCAGAGTGTGGGATGATAAAATTTGCAGAATTAAAAAATTATATATCACACTGCATTCAGCACACCTGGTGTAACTGCATCCACACCACTGGCACTGCACGCCGGTGAATCACTTCTGGCATACAAATTATTGACAAACTGCGTCCCACCATCCCTGTCACTTTGCCTATCAGGACTCACATCCACCATCAGCTTAGATAAGACACCTAAGCCATTACTCATCATGGCTCTAATTATTTCCAAGAAAACAATCTTCATGAACAGGAAATCAGGAAACTCCCTAAGATCCAAAGAACTCCGATGAACTTTGGTTTCCGAACTTCAGCCATGTTTCATTTGTCTAAGCGAGAGGGATTACTCATCATGTGAGTCTGTGTGTTTATGCAGAACGATTACACATAACCATAGCGCTGTCTCACCAAGCTCTCTGTGACCTGGAGGAAATCCCACTGAGAAATCAGGATAATGAGACCTTTGAAAATCCTCAAGGCTGTGCATCCAAAAACACCCACCTTAGGAACCTCTGACTGGTTTTTGGTTGTTCATGGTCTCCTCACGTATCACTTTTTTGGTCTCATTTTTGTGAGTTTAAGGTCAGGCTATGCAAGAGAAGGGGTTCATTACCCCTCAAAATATCTAGATATGAAAATTACATTTGTTGTGGTGAGCATATCACTGTTGTTACATGAGCACGAGTCGGCATTGGTTCCCCACTCCATCTCTTTTAGCTATTTTCTAAAAAAAAAAAAAACACGCAGCACCGCTGATGATTAATGAAGAACTGAAGGTAAAATTGATATACACCTACATAAATTGCAGCTTCAATTGAAAGAGAGAGACAAGCTGACCGTGTGCCACGTCGGCATTGACAGCCAGGTGATCCTTCATTTCAGATGAGCGATATGAGATAAGGAGAAGCATTTTAAGTTCACACTTAAAAAATAAGGGGAGATTTAGCATGAACAGCAAAATTTAAAAAACCCAAAAGGCTATGCTTAATACTAACCATCATGTCAGAGAATATGTTCAATCATCCAGTCTCTCAAAGAATAATTTCACTTACAAAGAACTAGGCTTGTTGTAGGGCATATTACTGATGGTGCAGGTGTTCGGGTAAAAACATGCCCCTGGGTGATAATTCATGTGACAAGTCTTGTTAAATTGCTTTTGTAAAATGCTGTTGTGAGTGTTCCCACAGATTTGGTGCATGTCGTCATATTTACTTAATGTCAAAACGTTCGCCAGGTTTAATTATGAGCTATGAAAAGGGCATCAATAAGGAAGGTTGCCCTTTACTGGCATACTTTGGTCATGATGTGTTTTGTGTTTTCATTGATTGCTTGTCAGTAGACAAATCATTGGGAGCCAGGCTTACAACGGCAACAGGACTGTTTAGATGACAGGGAAGATGAGATGGCAGAGAGGGTACCTTCTCTCAAATCCTGGCCTGTCTTTCTTTGTTCCTTTCCATATCTATTAACCTGTCTCTGTGCCTGTGCCTTTGTCTTGGTTTTGAAGGCCTAACTCAAAGGTCGCCTCTTAAATAGCCCCTTTTAGCATTGTTGGCTTTTCCATTAGAAACTGTAAATGTTGCAATTACTTTTATTTCCTGTTTTAAACTTGAAATTGTTTTTGAACTTCCTTGTTTACTTCTTAAATTCTCTTTTACCCTCTCTGCTTCTTCTTTGCTTTTTTGGGTTAGCAAGACAGGCTAATTAAATACTTTTATTTGATTTTAAATCATAATAAGTATCTTGACACCAGATGAACCTGAATGCGCCAGATCAACTATGTTTCAATTAAACTGAATGAAGACATTTTCTTTTTCCTCGAGTGAATTTGTGTCTTTCTGAAATAGAATTCTTAAATTTATACCCATGGTAATAAAACCTTCCTCCTGGCATTCATGAATAAAATGACCAATCCATTCCCACTTTTCTCCATATTCAGCAAATGGGCCGTATAAAAGCTTCTTCTAATATATGCATTTATGCCACAGGAAACGCTCTGAAGTCAGGGGCCGGACTCTTTTATCTCGCTTTCACCATCTGTTCAGGGGTATATAATCCTGAATCACCAGCATTTAACCCATATGAACATTCTACTGTGTACCTTATGGCTGCGGCAATGCAACAAACTTGTAGCGTAAGGTGGCACATGATGTTTCATCGTGCTGAACTGCTGACCTCCCTCCCCCTCGCTCCCTGCATGTCGTTTCCTAGGCAATCCACTCAGTTGCCTGGCATCACGAGGGCAAGCAGTTCATTTGCAGTCACTCAGATGGGACTCTGACCATATGGAACGTCAGAGGCCAGGGCAAACCCATACAGACAATCACCCCACACGGTAAGGAGGAAACACACTCAAAAACAAACACACACCCCTCCCTAATTCGCTCATTTACTTCCACCTATATATTAATCTGTAGTGTTTAATGTTACTTTGTGGGGATTCTGGGAGGGGACTACTGTATATAGAGGATAGATTTTGCACCCAGAATTTGTTAACGGGGTAAACATAGTGCGCTATACAGTAAATGGGAAGTGATTTCAGACATAGCCAGATGCATGACACAATATTTGAATGGACCTCCATCCCAACATACTGGAAACATATTGTAATTCATTCATTTTGGTTATATGATGCTTGCCTTTGGTGTGGGAGACCTGGGTTCGATTCCCGCTGTGACCCATCCACCATTGTGTCCCTGAGCAAGACACTTAACCCCTCGTTGCTCCAGAGGCGTGCGACTTCTGACATGTATAGCAATTGTAAGTCGCTTTGGATAAAAGTAAATGTAAATGTATATATTATTAGGGTCTTATCTTAACTGATACTAATTTTAACTTTACACTTAACTGTATAAGGTTGGGTAATTAATATGGTACATAATAATTAAGAACCCCATACTTGATCTTTTTCCTAACATAAAGTAGTCATAAAGTCTTTCAGCAATAGTAGTACAATTGCCTTGTGCTGCGCATCATTTCTATGGCTTAAGAAAGGAAAGAAAACAAATCTGAAACATCCATAACAGTTATTGGTCAATTTGGACATCAGAACTTCCCTTTTGATGAAAAGCAGGTAAAACAAATACTTTAAATATATGCCAAGCCAAAACATATGCCATATACCTTTTATGGTATTTTACCTCACCAACAGAAATCATTTTAATTTATTTACTACTCTTTTCTTTGTTTCTTTTTCTTTCTTTCAACATGTTCCTATGTCTTGCATCTGTCTTTTTACCTGTATGTTTCATCTTTGTATGGCATCTTTTTGTATGAAATGTGCTATAAATAATGTTTTATTATGTTATTATTATCATATTCTGAGATAAACTGGTTGTCTAAGGAAAGTAACGAGACTCATTTAAATCAGTGGTTTTCACGGTGGGGGGGTTGTGAGATGATTAACCGGGGTAGGAAATAAGGGAAAAAAATTTTAAAAATCTTTAATCATTGCTTCTTTTTGAAATATTGAATAATTTTATTTCTTCAGGGATCTAAAACTTCAGCTGAAACAATATGAGACAAGAAAATCATCCACAGATTGAAATGCTTACAGCTGATAGACATGCATGTGTTGAGGGACTGCAGGTAGACATTGCTTTCTATTGGGCCATATGGAGACAGATGTATCTATTTCTGTTGGTTATTGCATCAAAAAGGCCACTGATTACTTTTGGGGTCTTATCATATAGCACAAGTTTTACAATACATGATATCAGTGCCTTCAGCCACCTCTGTCAGTCACATGACCCAGTCTATACTCATCAAAGCCATGCCTCAATAGTCTTCCTACACCTGAAATCCTCACTGTTTCCTCATTTCAAGATTATTGTCAGGTCAATTATGTCCTGCCTCTGTTTGCTTTATTTTCAGTCTGCACATGCATACATTAGTGCTGGAGCTCTGTTTATTTCCTGCAGGAAAGAAAGCCTGCTCTTTAGAAGATGTATTTTAATCCATGCCCCTCTTTCTGTGTGTGTGCAACACATGGACAGAGAGAGCATGGGAGTCAGTAAAAGGAACAAAGAAAGGAATGAAATGAAAGGGAAAACTTCTAACCAGTTTCTCAAGCCGGCTTTGTGTGTAGGTTATTGTAGAAAGGATTTCACCACACAGGGTTTTTAATTAGTTGTTTCTCCCACTGCTGCTTACACAATTAGTTTGGTATTTAATGGACATTTATGCAAATTCCTTCGGCAGGTTTAATTAAGGCTTAAAGATCTTTCTTTAATTGTCATTTTAGATGTATTTATTAAAATGAGTTCTTTATTATACAGATCTGCCTTCTATGACCTACCTTAGGGCTCACTTTGGCTCTTCAGTAAAAGCTCAGATACATTCAGTAACTTACTGTGCATTCTGATACAAAACTATGTTCAGGTAGGCAAACATACGATGGATGTGCAAATTCCCTTCACCTCGTTTCAGGTTTGAATAGATGGATTCTGTTAATCATTCATGTTCGTCACTCCTTTGCATGTCTCTGCCCCTGCATTTGTCTGTCTCCTCTCTGATGAATTGCCTTTTGTTATTGCCTGGCTACTGTTCGGAGCTGCATTTTAAGTGCAGCTTCCGGGAGAGAAAAAATGAGATGACAGGAGAAACATGAAGACAGGAGGGGAAGAGGGATGAACTGGCAAACTAAAGTAACTTCTGTTTATTCTATTTTAGGAAAACAGCCCAAGGACGGAAAGAAGCCAGAGCCTTGTAAACCCATTCTCAAAGTGGAGTACAAAACCACTAGAAATGGGTAGGGTCCCTCTCTCTCTCTGTCTGTCTCTCACACACACACGCATAGGCATGAATATGCTTAATTATACACAGTTATGGCAATAAAGGCACATCAAGGTTATTTACAGGTGTTAAGGCTGTTGCCAAGGCAATGTGAGTAACACATGTGTTTGTGCTTCAAGCTACGCAGAACTTCAGTCAAAGTCTTTTAATGTTTAAGTGTTCTGATATTAAAATAATGTGATGAAGAAAACCCACTCCTCTTGTGCCCCTGCATTAGCTATCAGGGCATATTGGAGGTCTTTTAAATTGTCAATTAATTGTACAATTTTTAAAGTTAACTCTTGGTTTCACCAGTGAAAGTTAAAGGTTCAATGTGTAATATTTATGGGGATCTATTGACATAAATGCAATATGAAATATACACAACTATGTTTTCAGAGGTCAGTGTTTCAGCAGCAGGGGCAGGACAAACAGCCCCCCCGAAGAAATAGTCACACTTTACAAAACAAATAAACTTACAGTTTTTCCCTTAGGATGGAGTTGTAGCAAAAGTTTTGTCTGAATATAAAACGCCAACACAACATGTCTCACATTGCTCTTGTGTCCACGAGCATGCGATGCACCTGAGAATAGCTTAAAACTGCAGTGTTTTCCCAGTTTAATGTGAGCTTTAGATGAATGTTTTGGTGTTGGTCGGGGTGTTTGGCGGTCCTCCCCCAAGAAAATTTTTAGTTTTTTTTTGGAAAAATATGGAATTTCACATCATATTGGGCCATTATTTTCACCATATCTCTGAACAAATAGTTGGAAAAGCTAGAGCAGATAATAGACAACACCCAAAGCAGGCAGTATAAAATACAGTTTCCAGTTACTTTCAACGCCATTCCTAAAGATCTTACAGAATAAACCGTTATGTTTTTATTACCTTAGAATGAGCCATTTCTGAATACATACACCATGGTTCATCTTACATGGACGTGTTTATACAGTAGCTCGAAATGGAAACTGATTTAGGATTGTGGCAAAACCTGACCATATTTACAGTATATTTGAAGTGTTTTAATTTATGATATTAGTGGACATCTATAGACCAGTCAGAATGTAGTATTTTCTGTGCTTATGGTATAAATTGTGTAAACAAAAAGCCAGTTACATTTTTATGCTTGTGTGTTTTTGTTGTGTTCCAGGGAACCCTTCATAATCCTGTCTGGTGGTCTGTCCTATGACACTGTGGGCCGGCGGCCTTGTTTGACGGTAATGCATGGGAAGAGTACTGCTGTGCTGGAGATGGACTATCCTATAGTAGACTTCCTCACACTGTGTGAGACACCGTACCCTAATGGTGAGTTTGTGGATGTGCTCATATGGCAGTCATGTGCATGTCTGTGCACATTACACACACGCACCTTTTTTTTTTTAATTAAGACGGATTGCTTGCCTGTGTTAGTGTGTTTCTGTAATAAATTTGAAATTTCCCAAGGGGAAGGTTCCTATTCCAGTTTCATTATCCGACACACAGCATATTACATTTTATATCTCTTTGTACGAAATAGCCTTCCATCTAAATAAAATTATTATATTATTGAGGAGTTGACAGCTAAAACAAGTTGGAGTGGAGCTAAATTGGATCCTATATTTTTATGTAATCCAGTATGTAAACTGATGCAGTGTCATCTGGCACATATACAACTACAGGAAGCATTAGTTAATTATGTAAAAACGGTGACTTTGAAAATTGACATTACTGGGTCTCTGGATTACACAATACATATCCGGCTGATAATGTGTATGTGTGCACGCTTAAATCAGTGTTGATGTGTAGCGGAGGTTGATAATCCATGATGATGTGGCTGCAGATGATGCAGTGTGCCTAAATGCAACGTGCACACCCATGTGTTTGAATGGGAAAACAAATGGCAGATAAAATATCGTTAACACATACTAGTACAGGCACAAAAACTAGTAGTTACTGTATGCAGACAAAGACAGAGATGAAGAGGTGAAGTACAACTCATGAAAAGAAATAGTGTAAGTCATTCACAAAAATAAATTTGACCTTAAGCTTGGAGATTAATTCTTGACCCTGAAAATAGCAGTTTGACAAAAAATGTCCTATAACAAGGTCCACTTACTTGTTTTTTTCCAAAGCATTCATTGCCTTCCTCAGCAGATGGATTTGTCCAAGTATAGCTCTGTATTGAGCATTTGCTAAGAAAAGCAAAGGAATGACAAAGACATCATTACTTCTTTGTCATTTTGTGTTTGGCTGATTGCCTTGTTTGTAAGTAGTTTGTATCTTTAGGTAAATCAGCAGTGAAAGTGACCATAATTACAGTAGTATTCTCATTTCCCTAACTGACAGACTGAGAGATACTGCACAGTGGTCTGAAGTTGCATAACGATTCACAAGAGAATGTGAATCTCTTGTAGAACAGCGTCAGGGCAGTAAAATGAGAAGGGCAGTGAGAGATGTGGTGTTGTGTGTGTTTCAACCACGGTAGTGCTATGGGAGTCTGAGACCTGCTGCTTTGAACAACAGATTGTGCCCTAAACACCAGTTTGCATTTACACACACATATGGCTATAGTACATCTGAATGTCCTCTGTGATAATTTTTCCAAATCAAAGAGAAATGTAGCTACTGTCTAATCATAATGCAAAGGTCAGTGCTTTTTTCTCACTGCACTCGACCCGGACAAAGCTCTAGCGTCGCAGTATATTTAAGGTTAGAAAGGTAGACCTTCTCTTCCCATAAATATTGTCAAGGTGCCTTGTAGCAACGCATTTAACCAGCTTAGCCATTTAGTGGCCAAAAATAGAAGACAAAACTGGGTAGCTCTGATGTGATCATCAATCTGTGAAAGTAGGGAATTCCTTGCATACATTCATTTAAAAAAATGATGTTATTAATAATGATTATTCATTTTCTTAATATTCTGTTTGTATTCACAATTTTTCAGTTCGATCTGACCTCCATTTATTTAGTCATGTTATTACTGGATGTGCGTAACCCTCATTTGAGTATTTATCGCCTCTGTAATGTTGTAAGACTCTGACTGGAATCAGAGGGATGTGCAAGTAGCTTTAAGGGCAATCATCTTGAGGTTGAATATTAAATTCCACTCCCAAATCAGACTGATACAAATATTTAACCAGAGCAATATCCCCCACACTTCTAAATCACATAGTTTAATAAATATTAAGCGTTCACATCTTCAGGGCACAGATATGATAATAACACTTGCCATATAAAGATGAATTCTTCCCCTGTGGTTTGTAGATTTCAGGGGAGTTCTCTCTCCAGGAATTAGACTAAACTAAAAGTGTGTGGCGTGATGAATAACTTGTCTTGCTTTTTCGCTGTGCAGATTTTCAGGAACCTTACGCTGTGGTGGTCCTTCTAGAGAAGGATTTAGTGGTGATCGACCTTGCACAAAATGGGTGAGTCTGACTCTGTTAAATAACTCTTCATCATCATGACTTGTTTCATAAACGTGGGCTAAAATATCACAGCTGACCTAAAAGTGCCCGTTATCTTCGTATATTTGCCTCTAGTTTACATAATGATGTAGCTTACTCACATAAATCTTATTATTTAGTTTGCATGCAGCACTGGACAAGACTCAATGCACTGATACTGGGCAGACGGACTAATTCAATTTAGAGTGACTTTGTCTGTACTGTCTTGTTAACAGTTATCCCATATTCGAGAACCCCTATCCTCTGACTATCCACGAGTCTCCTGTGACCTGCTGCGAGTACTTTGCCGACTGCCCTGCGGACCTCATACCTGCACTTTACTCTGTTGGCTCGCGGCAGAAACGACAGGGCTACAGCAAGAAGGTACTACATAGGAAGGCTCTATGTTGTACAAAAACATATATGCATATTTTATAATCTTTCATCTATTTAACCACATCAGTGGTAAATATCCAGCTTTGGATGGAGAACCTAAGTTTTTAAGAGCAGGGACTTCTTTCCAGTTTCTTCTCAGTAGATGGGAAGCAATGCAATACAAAACCGGCATTTTATAGTAGGGTGTATTTTAAGTTAAGTAGGGTAGGGAATAGGGCTGGGCGGTATATCGTTATATGAGGTATACCGATATAATTTCAAAAGAGATATGAAATTAGACAATTCCGTTTATAACGATATAGTTTAATGTTGAGTTAATTAATGTCTCTGTAAAGTCCTGCCAGCGTTCGCCCCTCTCAGTCCCTCACCGCGCAGCCCCGCTCCTCCCTCTGCGTCTGCACGCAGCCGTCTACTCACAAAGTCTCTAACAAGATGGAGGAAGACACAGTGCTGTTCAACACTGTTAAAGACCTGGCTAAAAAGAAAACACGGTTCATTGTTTCCCACACATACACTTTACTTACGCGGTTTGCCCAGGTTAGGAGACCCATTGTAGCATTTATCAGAGAAACACGGTGATTACATTACAAGTCGTGACACGGTTTATATGGACAGTGAACACACCAGCCAGATGTTATTTGTTAGCTACCACATTGGTTTTGTTTTGATAGGCTATGTAGTGGACCTAAAGTTATTAGTTATGCATTTTAATAAATTTATGAGAATTGATACCCAATTATGAATTATTATTCATAAAATCAGAATTTCCTCGTAAAGGGCACCACCGGAGTTGTTATAATCCTAGAGTCTCCGGACCTCTAGGTAGTTTTGAATAATTATACAATTATTACTAGTGATCAGTTAGTTAATAATCGCTCAATTATCTTAAATCAGTCAGTCAGTCTCATATCTAAAGGGTCAATTCTCTTGGCAGGAACTATAAATAGGCAACACACACAGCTCTTGATTATATTACAGTGAATTTATTCTCTAACTAAGGTGATAAAAAGATGGTTGGATACAGGGAACATAAACATTTGCTGAACAATGAGCCTGGAGGTTCGATTGTGGGAAGCATTTGACTCATACGGCATAGAAGAACTAATGAAAGTAAACTAATGCTCTAGTTTAGGAGTTAAAATGGACATCTGATCACAGAACATGTGTTAAGTCTTACTGCTTGTCGACAGCCTGCTTTTGGCCTGTTGCACGGGTCCCACGCTAGCTGCCCGATCCTGGCTTTTTGCTAGGGATTCTTCGGGTTCTCCGTGTCTGATTGAAAAACCTCCTCCATCTGGCAATTCGGCTGTTTGCTGGTTTCCTTGGTTGTAGCTGGCGAGACCACGTGGCTTGGTCTGACCTCGGTGAAGTTGGCTCGACGAAAAAGGCTTAAAATGGAACTTGGTCGTTCCTGAATTAGTCCAGTGTAACTTAACAGACTGATAACTTTAACAAGCAAAAGAAATAAAGAAAATAAAACAAACTGAAGGCAGATCGATGTCTCGGCACTTCAGGTGTGTAGCTTCAGGCGAACAAAGGCTTGTTTGTTTCGCTGGCCGAGTCTGGGCGTGTGGCCTGGCGAGGCACGCTACGCGCGTGCCGAAGCATCCAGAGGGCCGAGTGGAAGAGCGAGAGGAGGGAAGAGTGAAGAGTGAAGAACGCGAGCAGGTCGCGTGTCGCTCTTTTGTTGTCTGGGGCGTGGTTCCCCAGGGGGCGTCTCAGGTTTCCCAAGGGACTGCCTTTCCAAACTTAATGTCTAAAGAAAAGAAATCTATTTGCACGTATTATAATCAAATATTTTCCACAATCGAACCTCAATGGTTGAACGGTTGTACTGTTCTAGGCATTTGGTAAATTGTCACATTATTGGTCAGGATTTTTATACATATAACCGCATTTCCGACGAGGGCATGTAATACTTATTTCGTCCACTTGGGGGAGCTCAGGTTACATGATGAAAGCTTGGATTAAATCAAAGATCGTCTCTCCTTAGGAACCGGGGAATATTGTTGATTCATCCTTAAATTCAAGCTGGCGATTAAGAGTATAGTAAAACATTTCTTTGTCATCATTTCTAAAGGGATTTTGTAAGAAAGTATTATGAACAAGCATTGATTACATTAGATGAAGGAGTGTCTTGCTGAAAATAAAAACATTGCACAAGTAACTTCTTTCAGCACTAATATCAACAGATAGCAACAACAGTTAACATAACTACTCAAATAGAGGCAAACATATTCAGGTAACTAAAGATTTAATTAAATTTAATTAGATGCTTTGAGTCTTTGAGACTGCAGTCCTTTGTCATCCAAAGTTCAGTGTCTGGAACATGTCACACTTAGGTGGGACAAGGAGTATCCTTTTGATGTGGTAATAAAACAAAGAATAAGGTCAGTTTCCACGGAAACGTGTGTGGTGGGGTAAGTTTTGATAGGCTGTTCAGGGAGATGCCAATGGCTGGCTCGTGTCCCTTTGTCAGTTTAACAGTCAGGCCCCGCGTTATCAGCTTCGGAATCAAAATGGTGCCAGTTTTATGGTCGGGCTAGCACTTAGAGAAAGCAACTTTGACCCCTCCCCATCTTCTCTGGGGAGGAGAAAGGAATTTAGGGTAGCTCCACATTTATTCCATGAAAAATGCACAAATCCACACTGTTGTTCACTACAGCTATATCGTCAACACGCCTCCTCAACATGCAGCTCAGCAGCAGCTGTGAACGGAATCACGGAAAGAAGAGTCCAGAAGACAAGTTTTTTCCGGTGACTTACTTACAGCTTAACCTACTACTGATAAAGAAAACCGAAACAGACATACAGGGAGAGAGAGACGGTAAAGCCCCTTTTCCACTGCATGATACCAGCCCGACTCGCTTGGTTTTCCATTATGTAAAAGTTTTACTACCTGCTACCAGGTACTTTTCGCCCAGCCCTAGTAGGGTAAAATGCTTTATTTTACAGGTTCTTAATAATCTTTTGGATCTGAGAAAGTCTCCTGGTAGGACTTATGTAATTTGGTAGAAATTATATGAAAAATAGGATTTTCTTTGAAAGAAAAGCAAAATTTGTCATTTGAGCATGTTAGTATGCTGATGTCAGCTTCTAGCTCAACGTACCGTTGTGCCTAGGTACAGCTATGCAGAGCCGCTAGCATGGTTGTAGACTTTTAGTCTTTAGTTCATATAATTAGTAAAGAAAATTAAAAATTTTGGAAATCGTAAGGATATTATGGAACTGTGAAATATGCGTGACTCTGTCACTACAGAAATAGCTAACTGCTCCTTGTCATCGTTGATTTAAACAATTTAAGGGCCATTCTTATGCAGGAGCAGGCAAGACCAGTTTTACTTTGGAAATAAAATGATGACTACTCCATCACAAAATAACTCTTTGAACACACCTCCCATCACAGATTAATGATGTATATGTAGCCCCCCTGGCCTGGTGGGTGTCATGGGATGTGTGTTCTTAAATCCAGTATGTAGAAACAAAGAGGCAGAAAACTTTCGCTTGCATTCAGCTCAACTGCAGGATTTATTCTTCTTCTTAAACAAATGAAGAAATTCACATTTGACTCCTTGAGGTGATAAACAAAACATCAGTATCTTCAAGGGTGTGAGATATCTCCACACACATGTATATATATGTATGTATATGTATATATATGTATGTATATATATATATATATATATATATATATATATATATATATATATATATATATATGTGTATATGTATATATATATATATATATGTGTGTATATGTATATATGTATATATATATATATATATGTATATATGTATGTATATATATATGTATATATATATATATAAATAAAATAGTTAGATGTAACTAAGCTACTTTTGCCATGCTGCTGTAGCTTAGCTTGCTACATTTCACTGGGGGGTAGTCTGTGTAGTGAAGATTCATTTAATGTAGAGTAGCTAGTAGCTTAGCTCACTACATTTTCCAAGTAGCTTGCCCAACACTGCGTTTAACATAATGTTATAGTTATACAAACATAGCAGTGAATGCATTTTCAGGTCAGTTAACAATACAAAACAAGACCATTAGCATGTCTATTGTACTGTGGGTACTCATTAGCAACAGATCCGCTAAACTAGCATGTCAGTGTATAGCTAAACATAATTATTTCAACATATTACGGCAATACTACTCAACTGTAAATATTACACATTATTACCAAAGATTCACAACACTCTTATCCCTTATACTGGGGTACATGCATGCAATTTTAAGTAACATTAACCCACCAGTATATAGAAACAACGACGCAGAAAACTTGCTTGCGTTCAGCTCAACTGCAGGATTTATTCTTCAGCGCGTGCCTCTGGGTTTTAAATTCCTCCCAAGCGCAATGCGCCACCTAGTGACCTGTTTAAGTATCGCCCCACCACAGTAACAAGTACAATACAATGAAATAAGCATGTTAGTAACAATTTAAGACAAAATATCATTAAAAAAATTCTATGGGTGTTTTTAAAACACATTTTGTTTATTTTTACCAATAAACGGTACTATAATGAACTGTACTAATTAAACAACCTTTTAACATATCTTATTGCCTAACTGTATACACTTTTTTTTAACCCTTTACATCTAACGGTGCAACAGTACCCCGAGGGTGGAATATTCCTTCATGTCGTTCTGGATAGCAGTGTCATAAAAGAGCTAAATGCCTAAATTAGAAATGTAAATGTTCCACACTGCACCCTCTAACTATTTTGCCATACTCATACATAACAAAAAGGCTCCTGGATAAAAGACATATTAATACATGCCTATGCTTACTTTTGCTACAAACTGCAAGCAGCATGAGTTAACTTGTGGTGCTAAGGTTTATTTCTCAATGTTTCTGTGAAGCTAAATGGACTGTATAATTGTGTCATATTACCTAAGGACCCTCTTCTCTCTTTGTACACCTCCTTTCTCCTCTCATTCTCTTCTCTTATCCCTGTATCATCAAAGACAGACACCCTGCTCTTTCAGCCATTATGCATGCCTATGTTCTTTCCCCTGTCGCCTTGTTCTAGCTTTCTCTCGGAAATGTCAGCATGTACTGACCCAAACTGGCTGCCTAGCTGCTGCCGCCTCCACCCCCACCCTGTTAAGCAAAAGCCTGGCTGAGCTACGGGAGGGCATTCTCACATAAAGATCACCATGAGTCATCCTAGTGACCTTTGTATGTGTCACCGTGTTCAAAGCCAACCCCCCCACTAACACACACACTCATATGGAGACACACACACTCAATGAGGTACATAATGCATAATTGCGAGACACCCTGAGAGACATACAGAAGGATTCCCGCCTGTTTTCCCCACACACTCTCACGCGTGCAGTTTAATCATGTCATCTAATTCAAAATCAATGTTTCCATTGACATGCTGTTTTATTGACATAGCTGCACTTCTACCTGTGCTCTCTGATTCACTCTAATGTACTGCGTGTGTCTGCTGTCTATCCAGGAATGGCCTATTAGTGGTGGAAACTGGGGTCAAGGTACACAGAGCTATCCAGAGATCATCATCACTGGGTAAGACAATACTGATTTCATTAGTGTTATCATTATGATCATGCTGCAACTCAGTTACTTTCACCTCTGCTGCACAGGTCAGGTCACCACAGCAAAAAGAGCTTGTCTTAAGACTGTAGATGTTTATATATTCCAATCATGTGCACTTTGCCCCCTTTTGATGTTTATTATCCCGCACTAAGCTGTCAACAAGGGGAGAAGGGGCGTTTTTAACAGAACACACGCACTGAAAAAGTGACATTGAGGTATGGGTTTGGCAGTAGGAGGCTTTTGCTCCTTTCCTTCCTCCCTCTCTCCTCACCCCTACAATGCCGTATTAATATTCTGTCCAGGTTTCTCACTCTTTCTAAGAGTGCCACAGCCCGCAAAATATTTCTCTCCCAATACACTCAGCAGAATTGGCAACAAAACAATGAGACAATACTGACAGTATCCTTTTCTATGACACTAAACGGAAATGCTGTCATGCTTATTGCCTGCTAATGAGTGTAATTCTTGTGTACACTCATTACACGTGTGTTAAGTTCATTTCTAGATAATTTTCAATATGTGGATGAAGTTGGATGTCATGTTACTTACACAATTTACACTACATGGCCATGAACATTACACCCATACAGGATGTGATTGTTGAGCATGTCCTTCCAGAACCATGGACATTATTGTGCTGCTATAACAGCGTCCACTCTTCAGGCAAGGCTTTCACATGATTTTGGAATCTAGCTGCAGGTATTTGCTCCAAATCGGCCACAAGAGATTTAGTAAGGTCGGCCACTGATGTTGGGCGATAAAGCCTGGCTCGCAGTCGGCGTTCCAACTCAGGTTTCTTATGAGGTTGAGGTCAGAGCAGCTTTGTGCATGGAGGCATTGTGGGAACAGGAAAAGGATGTCCTCCAAAGGTTCACCACAAAGTTGGAAGCACATTATTGTATTAAATATCATTGTATGCCACAGCATTAAGATTTCTCATGATTTGAATTATGGGACAGTCTACTGATTACATCCTAGTTAAACGACCTTGATCAAAGTCATTAAAATCATTAGTGAAAGCCCTCTAGAGTGAACTATGGTGATTAGTAGTATTTTTGTGTATAAGTATTAATACACAAAAATACTACTAATCACCATGGTTTATTTTGATTCAAAATTGTTCATGTAAATGCATGTTGTACATTTGAGAATTGTTTTAAAATTATACTCTACTAGATGTTAGATGTTTCAATGCTGCAGGTCCTACAAACTGATTTATTTTGATCGGACTAGAATTCAAAGTTAGAACTCTGACATTGTAAAACAGGACACAAATTGAAATTCATCTCTCTCTTGTTCCTCTGTCTTCTTCTCTTGAAATCCCAGGCACGCTGATGGAACTGTGAAGTTCTGGGATGCCTCTGCAAGTGAGTTCTCTGAACGGCTAAGTTTGGTCTATTGCCTCTCACAATGCCGGAGTCAGATTCCATATGTCTGATGTCCCTAAATTACAAGTGATACTTGTCCCCTTTTCTTTTTTCCTAGTAATGCTCCAGGTGCTCTATAAGCTCAAAACAGCCAAAGTGTTTGACAGGAACCGGTCCAAGGAAGACAAGGGCAGTACTGAGGTGTCAGATGAAGACCCCTTTGCTATTCAGATCATGGCCTGGTGCCCTGAGAGTCGGATGCTGTGTGTGGCCGGGGTGTCAGCCAATGTTATCATCTACCGCTTCAGCAAGCTGGAAGTAACTACTGAGGTGGTGCAGGTGGGTAACTCTTTATAATCTGGGTAAAATGCTTGTTTTTTGATGCAATTAAAGGGAAGAAAAGTGAAAATATGTGTGTTTTAATTGTTAAGACTCTTAAAGCATGGACACAAATAAAGGAGATAATTGAACTCTCTAGCTCTCCATCAAGAATACATTTTGCTTGTGTTTGTTGTTATTTGCACTAAGTACTCACTTTCTCTGCTGTTAGAGTTGCGTGCACAAACGCACGCACACACACACGCTCAAAGATCTGCCTAGTCAAAGGCAGTATGGTTGCCATGCCAACAGACGGAGCAGTGAACAAGCAAAGCTAGACTGTCATTATAATCTGCCTTGATAGCGACTTAAGTACTTATGGGGGTGTGATGAGAGTCAGTGTTAAATGGCATAAAGAGAAATGCTGTTCAATCTGTGTGCGCATGTTCAGAGCCCCCAGACACCAAAAGAGAGTGTGCGTTAGGGCTGAACGATATGGCAAAAATAAAATCATGTTCATCATGTTGCAATTATTTTGACAGATAATACGATCTTAGTGGGAATGGTCATTTCATTTTCATTGAGATTTTTTTTTTATATGATTCTTGCAGTTTATATGATTCTTGTAGGTTGTAGCGTCTTTGTAGCAATATGATGCTTCGTTTATAATAATATGTTGTGACACATTCTACCTTCATCACAAAATTGTAGCTCCAGCGAACTGGATATTGTACTTGGCCATATTGCGATTCCGATAATATTTTGATGAATTGTTCAGCCCTATTTTGCGTGGATACATGTCTAGTCTCTACTGGATACGCAGTTGCGGCAAGCTGTAATAAGGAGAGCAGTGTCCCTTCGCACAAGGTCAAACACTTTTCTACAACTTTGCAGAAATGAAGGAGGACAGAGACGCGCAGGAGGGAGCATCTGAAGAAGAGCACTGATCACTCTTCACTCCCATATGTCAGTGGGGCTAATGAGACTGACAGAATGCAAAGAGAGGAGCTTATGACCATTGTACGTGTTTTGTATGAGACTGTGTGAAGGCGGAGGTTGCACAGAAGTAGCCTGAAGGAGGACTTGGAAGGAATGGAATATTTCAGTATTGGAGGACCTCTCTGACTCTCAATCTTCTTACACATGCACATACACGCGTCAAAGTGACTGTCACTGTTCTCTCATCCTCAGAGAAATTCATGAGGAATTGTTTTCTAGAGTTTAGTATCATGATTTTGCTGATCTCTTTTATAAATCTGCTAATACCTCGTGTCTTTGTGGACCTGTGTGTTTGTGTTGTTTTATACAGTTACTAGAGGTTCGAATGCAGTATGAGCTGAATGACATAGACACTCCAGACGGCGGGGGAGAACAGACATCAGCGCTTCCCACCCCTGGTGCCTCCCCTCAGACAAGTGGCCCACCTTCACACCCCTCCACCAGCAGCAACAACTCTGATGGCAGCAACATTCCCTGCCTCAAGTATGAAACATGCTCACATGCACGCACACAGAAGCACTCTCATAAGCAGCAGCAGCGCTTGCACACATTCTCGTACACACTCATACACACGAGAGTCTTGCCTTTTGCCTCAAGCACTCTTGCGCAGACTTAGTCAGCGCCTGAAGCATTCTCAGCCACAGCCTCCCCATCATCCCCTCGCAGCCACTCATGCCAGACCCTCAACACACAACAGTTTCTGAAATGCAGCTGCACCACTCGTCATTCTCTTTATGAAACCCTTTTTTTATGTATACCTTTAATTTTTTGCTCCTCTCTGTTTCTCTCGCTGTCTCTACTCCTCTCCATTCTGCTCTGTCTTCTTTTCTCCAGAGTGCGTAGTACTCCTCTGAAGCAGTCTCCTGGTTACCAGGTAGATCTGGTGGTCCAGTTAGTGTGGGTGAGTGGAGAGCCTCCTCAGCAGATCACAAGTCTGGCGCTCAATTCCTCCTACGGCCTGTAAGTATACAGCCAGTAACATTTTAGTCGAGACTAGAACCAAGTAGAAATCTTTTCTGAAAAACTTTGTAATGTGAACATGTCAAGTATGTTATGCTCATCAAGCTGGATCAGCCGAAGTTCAAAAATTGAATGACTAAAATGTATAAAGACCATCATATAAAGACAAATATGTACTCTGTAGACTGACATTCTACAGAGTTTTTAGCACTGAAAATGAAATCGAATCTCATAACGTGTTTCTCTAACCCATCTCTTCTTTTCTCTCTGCCTTTTCACTTTCTTCCTCCACTTCCTCCCCGACTCCCCTTCCCTTCCCAGAGTGGTGTTTGGCAACAGTAACGGTCTGGCGGTGGTGGACTACATCCAGAAGACGGTAGTGCTCAACTTGGGGACGGTCGAGCTTTACGGCTCCAATGACCCCTACCAGAGACAGCCCCGCTCGCCAAGAAAGACCCGACAGCCCTCTGGAGGTAATGAGAAAAAGACATAAGAGGGAGTAGGGTTTTTTTTTTTTTGCTTTCTTGTCATCAGTACAGCCGCAAGGCATAACTCTTTTAAAACTTTAAGTCCAGAGCTGACTAATTGTACATCCAAGCTGGGCGGCTGAACACCAAACTTGCAAGTCGCTCCGGGCTAAGCAGGAGATCCCTAAGACCCCGATCATTCTCGAATTTCTTTACACTCAACCAAAATCCACACACAAATAGATAACTATGAACCAAATGGCTCTTGAATTTAGAGTGTTGCCATTATGTCTATTATAGCAAATGATTGCCCACAATACTTCTGCTCTGTATGTTAATTAGATGCTGTTTATCAGGTACAGCGTAGGTGTAGGTCAGATCCTCATTGCCAGCAGACGTGGGGCTGGCCATTTCATATCATATTTCAGTGTTTTTCTGGACTTTCCACTTATTATACCATTGCCTACTGTTTGTTAATGACTAGCTATTAAAACACTGCTTATCTGTTCTTTCAGCCCCACTAGCTCAGGGTTTGCTTGTTTTTTATTTCAAGGTTTGAAATAGAAATCCTGTACATGATTATTTATTTTATTCCCCTCTAGTTATTTTTGAATTCTTGCCATTAAGCTAAAATTGTGTTTTAGCCTCGGACTAAGCTGAACTATGATCTGCAAATCCTGTTCTTGTCGAATGACAAATTAAACAGTTGGGGAAAATTGCACAGACATTCACGGAACATAAAATACCACTATCAAGTAGGTAGCCAAACACACAGGTTTAGGGATTTGGGTACACTAAAATAGTTTATTTCAAAATAACTCTTGGAATGCACTGATTGAAGCAAAATCACATTTTGTATTCAAGGTTTATTTTCAGTAAATGTCCGGGTTAGAACACTGTAATGGGTTTGTAACAGTAAATAGACTCCGTTTATCCCACAGGTCCAACGTCCCTGAACTGATCTGTAAAGTGATCCAAATAGGAGTGAGTCAAGTCAATGAACAATACATGTTAAATCTAAAATGATGCTACCCAGGCATAGTTCATGAGGCGGACACACAACAAGGCAGTTTGACAACAAAAATACTAACTCTTTCTATTTCCATCTGCCTCTCTCTGTGTCTGCCTCTGTGTGTGTGTGTGTGTGTGTGTGTGTGTGCGCACACACTCAGCCCATCCCTTTTGCACACATTGCCACTGCAGCCTCATAGTACCACTGATAGGAAGTGAGATGCTTTCCTTATGGACATACTGCCACCCTGTGTTGGATGATGGCAGTGCGGCTACATAGCGGATGCTGCAGTGTCATGAGGATGTGCTGCCCATACTCAAAAGCAAAAGTTTGATGGATCAATTAGTAAGCTGTGTGTATGTGTGGATGTTGAGCAGGCTTACACATACACACACACAAACCAATATACACACGCAAACGTTCACATATACACAAGCACGTGCACATGTAAATACACACAGAGCATCTGGTGTCACTGACTGGTGAGCAGTAGGCTGGCACCTGTCAGAGCTTGGCGAGCTTGAGCAGTAATCAGGCGTCCAGCTGTGTTTCTCTGCCAGCAGGGACTGCTGTCTGCTTGGATTTCTGCCTCAGAGGACAATGTCACATACACATGCACGCATGCATGTTTGTGTACAAACATGCACCTGGCAAAGGGAGAAATTGGACTTGCACAAAATCTTCCTTATGTTTAAAATATGAGCGGAGCTGACAGAGTTCTCTCTTTACCTGTCAAGTAAAGAGAACGTTAGACATGGAAATCATCCATTTGTACATACAGTCGAGTCCAATCTCCCCAAAAACACAGTGCAGCCCTAGTTGATTCACTGTGAAGTGGCAGTATATGATAAAGTAAAAAAGGGTACTGACAGAATGAACACCGGAGTGGTTCTTTTTGATTTGCTTGATTTTGTATGAATTGTGTGATCTCTGCTGCAGGTCTGTGCGACATTAACGAGGGCTCAGCCACATCAGAGGACCGCTGCAAGTCCCCTACTTCAGGTAACATATCCTTCAGCGTCTTATTAAAAAGTGGGATAAATATAACAGAGGCCTTGTGTTATCTAGACGTAAAACCCAAACAGTGAACCAGTATTTGAATGCAAGAGGAGCATTGGTTAGAGAGGAAGATTAATGTTTCAAAAGAGCCTCTACTTTTAATAGTATTTTATAGAAATTGTTGCTCATCAAACTGGAACTGTACAGAAGGTTTTTTTTGTTGAACAATTAAATTGTCTGGCTGTCAATTTCATTCTAACCCAGTCTTTAGAAGTGCACTGTTTGAGTTTATTACCATACGTTTATGAGTTTTTGAGAGTATTTTCCCATTTGTGCATGCTTTCTTTTACCACTTTGCAGAGTTCAGTAGACGGGAAAAAATTTGTTTTAATCTCGCATGGTATTCTGAAAACCTCTGTTATAGGCTGCAAATCTATCCCAATCTCTATGATTCTAATTCAGTGTGACAAAGATTATGAATTGAATGAAACTGTTAAACAATGCAACTCTGCATTCTGGTAGAGAAACCCATTAATTTACATTAATTAGAGTGTGAGTTAAAAAGTAAAAGTTCAACCGGAAGAGCCTCGGGCATTTTCACATATTCAGTAACTACGTAATTGCACATTTTAAAAAACATATTCTCCAGTTAATATTTTGAGCAGGGATGCTCTTTCAGTTAAACGTTATTATGTATCTGGATTTACTGTACTGAATCTGTACAGATCTGTATGAAACATTATCATATTAAGCAGTTTTCATATCAGTGAATATGAGCAAATGCAAACAAACCAAAATGCATTGTCACTTAGCATATTATACACCACCGCTACATTGCAGTAGTAAATTGTATAGAAGAACTGCATTGTGTGGTGCAACAGTAAGATGCTCAGTTGCTCTTTTACTTGCCTCCTTCTTAATCCATGTCATTAGTATTTCAGCAGAAGGTGCTCGAAGACAGAACAGGCCAGATCCATCTCATTAGGGGTAACTTGGCATTAGCACGCTGAAAATAAGGAGCTTTTTTATAAAGGTCAGACAGAAAACAAATCTCAAAGTCTGGAGCCCTGCTGCTGTTTCCAGGTATAATGGCTGTCCCAGCCCCCAATGTCTGGTGCCACCAGACTGTGGTCTGCTACATCTGTCTGCTCTGCATTATTCATAGGACAGAGAGAGATAAGGTGCCTTCCTGCAACAAATTTCTGCCTTAACAGTCATTTTGTCTGGGGATAAGTGTTTTTTTTTTTTTTTTTTGGTAAGTGATAAAGTCTGCCAGTGGGAGAAAATAATTTAGATTTCTGTTCACGCAGTTTCACCTGTTTAACCTCGGAATAAGTTGCAGTACGGTGAATTAAGTCTCCATTAGTGCCAGGATAGTGTAATTTCATTCAAGAAAAAAAAAATTGAATAGTTTGATTTGCATTAAAAACAACTTAAAATGACCACTTACAGTTGTCAATGCTAAACCACTTTTAGCAATAACACAAACAGACTTCATTATGCATTCATTTAAAGCTGGGGTAGTTCAACTTGTTATAAACCAGCAAGAAACAGCCATATTTTGAAAGTATCCAACAGAAAAAATCCCACCCCCTCCCTTCAGGCCTCCCTCCAAAGCCACTACCCCAAAACACATTTTCATGCAAGTGCACGCCTGTAGATGGGTAGACAGGTAGCTAGGACGTGCTTAAGGTGCGTTCCATTTACCAACTTAAGAGGGCGCTTCCTTTGAAATTTCCGACTTTGAACTCGGAAATTCCGACTTCCCATGTCAAATGGAATGCACCATTATTATAGTCCTGCAACAGCCACAGATACCGGATTTATTTCTTTTTCGTGTGTCAAAGCATTTGATTTATTGATTGCTGTGGATGAAAAGAGAATAAGACAAATTTCAACAAATTTTACAAAAATAAATTGCCTAGGCAGAATGCTCTTCTCTCTTCCTATTTTGCACACTGAAGTGTTTTAGTTTTATTTGTTTTTAATCATTACAATCTTTGCTCATTATGGCAACCAAACAAAACAGGGGACATTTTGATTTAACTGGTATTTATTTTAGGCACAAATGCAATAAAGATGTAGACGTCATGTAGACATTATCTATGAAATTAAAAAGGAGTTAAATTTTCCCAGCCAATAGTTTTTATTATATAAAAGAGCAGGCACTTGTAAAATTATACCATATTCTTTCATTGGTTAATCTGTTTTTAGTGTCCTGAATTTTGACCCAGATTTATTGAAATTAAAAGGCCAGTTTGCTGTTCCACAAAAAAATAAGTGATTCATCAGGGTAATATCACTGTTTACCCTGATGAATCCCTTATTTTTATATGTAGTAACCGTAGTAACAAGCCAAAGGGTGTTTCTAACTGCACATTCACTGTACTTTACTTTTCCCCTTACACCCCAAAAGTGTTGATGTCAAACAGCAATCTACAGCAATTCTACAATGGAGGTGGTAGAGGAGGTAAGATTGGCCAGAGATTTTCATAAGAAGCTGTGTAGGCAGGACAAAAAAGTCCAGATTTGTGTCCCCGCCCCCCCCTCCCCTCGTCTCTGTCCTCCGTGTCATGGTCACCACCGCGGGATGAAGTAGAACAGAGAATAGATAGTCAAAGTTCGGCTTCACTTCTTAGTTAGCTTCTGTTCCACTATCGTTTGGTTCTCACTGTATAAATGAAAAAACAACATGAGTGGGTTTTTTTCTTGGTTAAAATGACACAGTGTTCATATACATATGTACTCAAATGTTAAGTACGAAAGTAAATGGTTAGAAAACTTGACACAGAGAACTGAAAGCTTGTGGAGCAGAGGCTAACCTGGAAGCAGGGCAGGAATTCAGCTGTCTATATACAAAAAAATGCACCTTAATTGCCTTAGACGCACATTGCATGCTACATGTATGTAGCACGAGTGTCATATTGTAAATGTGCCTGCGTGTGATATCTGTCCTGACCTCCTACAACAGATTTATATGGCGTTCTCTGTCCATAGTACAGTATGATGACACCACAGAGCGGAGAGCAACTCATCTGTCCAACTGTGTCTTTGTGTTCCTTCAGCTTGTGTTGATGAAATATATAGAAAGTTCATTAACCAGTCGAAAGTAATGCTCATTGTCTGTCGAAGGGTTCCGGATCCTACCCTCTGTCAGATTCAGGCGACGATGAGTAGGTATCTAAAAATGACTGCTACATCACAGACTGGAGGTTTGACCTTGCCTAGTCCAGTCCTTCTCAAAACATTGTCATACTAGATTCTTTTTAACTAGCCTGACCTCATTTCATTAGTCTGAAGCCAGTTTAAAATTTAACAAGACATGTTTTGAAAATATTCTAAGCCTTAGTATATGCAGTACATTTTCCCAATCATCCTATTAGCTTTGTTGCACCTCTGAGGGGAGACACGTTTGGTGACCTCACGTAATTCCCAGCATAGCTCCACCCAACTTTAACCAGAGCAAAGGTCTAATTAGCCGGAATAAGTTAAGACGCCTGTGTGGATACACAGAGCCCTTAAATGAAAGTAAATAGAGGGTGTAAGTAAGCCATGTGTTCACTGTAGATTGTCGAAAACTGGATAATCAGTGACACTCAAACTGTCTGCCATGTTATTTTTAAAAATGGAAACGGGGGGAAAAACCGAATAATAAAAAAATATAAATAAAGTTAAACCCAACCCAGTTTAAGCGTGAGGGTATTAAGGACTTCTTTAGAGGGTTTGTCTGCACATTTTCAGTCAGTTTTCGAACAAAATGACGTGCAAGCTTGCCACAGCTTCATTACTTCACACCTACCATTAGTGAACGTAACATTTCAGTGCACACGTGACAGTATGTCCCCTTTTATCACATAGATTTTCTCCAACTTCTTTCTCCTACAGACAGAGAAATAATATCTCAGACCTTCATTCATTGTCATTTCCTTTTATGAGTTCAGTCATTTAAAAGGTGGAGTGAACCATAGCTATAAAATTGCATTGCATCTTGCTGTATGTGAAACATATGGATTCAGACAGGATAGAGGAGTGGGCGGAGGTGTTTATGGTTAAATAGAGGACATTTTGTACCAGTTGAGACAGGTAAGGGTGTGTGCCTAATACATTACATATACAATACACTAACAGTAGACTCTACTCACTACTTTTGACCATCTTTTGTCTTCTTCCATCTCCCGTTCAGTATTTTCTGTTTCCTGTTACGTTCTTGTTCTTGGTGCATGCTCCTGTGGCATGAGGGTCCTGAATGGCTGTGCAGTTTTAATGTATCTCACTGTGCCTGTCCTCTCTTTCAGGGCATTGTGCAGTGAGAGATCACCTCCTTCATATTGTCTTTCACGGCATGCCTCTGTGATATACAGGGTTGTCTCTGACTCTTTACACAGTGTCTCCTGTGAAAACCACTTTGGCTCCTCAAGTCAAATAAACAATCCCCCAGCACTTGTTCCACAGCCTTCTCTTGTTTTTGTGTATTTTAGCTTTGTGCACAATCCTAGCCCAATGCTAGTTATCTAGCTTTGCATGGCATCATGTGTTAGCTTAGATGTGTGTTTGTAAAGAGGGATGTTCTCTTTTTTCCAGCAAAGATGTCACGGAAATTAAGCTTGCCTACTGAGCTAAAGCCAGACTTGGGTAAGCCTTGACTTCGTGTCTCAAAAGAATTTGTATGGAAATGCAGTATATCTTTCTCACTTCAACTGGACTCCGCCACATTCCATACGTCCAGTTTTATCTGGTTATTAGCCTCAAAATTGGCAAGCTGTGCAGATGTTCTCCTAAGTTTGCATGAGACAAAAGTAGCACTGATCTGACCAGAATGGAAATTTATTGAGCTAAATCAAAGTGTTGGAATTAAATTGAGTGTGAAATGACTCCCACTTTTTGACCTTGGTGGGGGTTCTTCTAGAGGTCAGTGGTGCTAAGCTAATCTGCACACTCCATCTCACTGTTAAGCTTTCTGTAACTTTTGCAGCTTTCTCTTTCTCTTCTGTGTTCTTCATGTCTTTCCTTTCTCTGTCTGATTGGTTCGTTTCATAAAAATATTTCCTAATACATTATCACTTTCAAAAAGAAAGAGTTTGTTTGTTTTTTATTCTGGGGTGTATGGCATTCTTCTAAAGCGGCAAGAACATCGGATGCAACATTTTTAAAGGGTCAAATTAAAATGTGCACATGCCAACACGTTGTGTTCCAGTGTTATACACGTAACCAAAGTGCCTCATAGCTGGATATTTCATACTAATTAAAATGCTGATTGGGGATGGAACGTTTTTATAATGTTGATCGGTCTATGAAAATGTGCATATGCAGAAGTGCATTGGATTTGTTTCTATTGTATACTGTATAATATAAATTTGCCATCAATTAGGTTTCAGGTGATGCAGCTCTGTTAGTTTAATGACAGTTGAAATGATGAGATTCATCTGTTATAGATTAGATTAAATATCTATAAATTAAACCATCCTTTATTACATTTACCGGCTGTTAAAAATGCAAGCCCATGCTCCTGGAATTTTTACACAACTGATATGTCTTGAGTTTGCTCTAAAATTTCAAACCAAATGCATTAAACGTCCAAAGTGTTTCATTTACTAAGACACTATAAAAAGCTGTTTACTTTTTCATCAATTTATTTTGTATGTACAGTACAGTGTCCACATCGTCTGTCTTGTGATTTCACTGCTTTGCGGCTGCTTTACCTCTCTCTGTTTTCTCCTCACTGTCCTTCTGTCTGTATGCCCGCCGCGGGGTGCCAACCCATTAGACCACCGGGACAATTCTTTCAGCCGCTCGCGCTCGTCCAGCGTCACCAGCATCGACAAGGAAGCACGAGAGGCCATCAGCTCCTTCCACTTTTGTGACGCCTTCGCCCGGAAGGGGGACAGCACTTTGACGCCCTGCCTGTATGTGGGCACTACCCTGGGCACCGTGCTGGCTCTAGCTCTCACATTGCCGCCTGCTGGGGAGCAACGGCAACTGCAGCCAGTTCTCATTTCACCTACAGGTGGGAAATGGGACATCAGAAGGGAGGGAGCGATGGAAAATAGATATAGTTATAGTAGGTGAAATGTTGTATTGTCCAAATAATTTCTGTAAACTGTCTATGATGTCCACAATATTTTCTATTAATAAATCAGAGTTAAAGTATTATACAACAGCAACACTATGAAAAAATACCAGTAACAATCTTTTTTCTTCCATTTGTCAGGCATGTTGGTACGGCTGAAGGGCAGCATCATGCGGATGGCTTTCCTGGACTCAACAGGTTCCCTCCAGCCCCCTCCTTATGAGCCTTGGTATGAACCCAACGTGACAGCAGATGGGGAAGAAAGAGAGAAAGTCCGTAAGCGCAGGCCCGTCTCAGTGTCCCCATCCACCTCCCAGGACCTCAGTGAGAGCCAGTATGCTGTGGTGTGTTCAGAGAAACAGGCCAAAGTCGTGTCCCTCCCATCCCAGACCTGCATCCATAAACACAGTATCACAGAGGCTTCCTTCATCCTGCGGGCAGATGTGGTGCAGATGAGCCAAGGCGTGTGTGTGGCGTGTTTCTGCGCCAATGGCCACATCATGACCCTCAGGTAAGAAACATGTCAGTCTGCGTCAGTCCGAAATAGCTGGTTATAAGTAGAATGTATCAATCAAAGTCAGTTTGAATAAATCATGTTCATTTCATTAGATTTAAGTAGATTTGACCCGTCTTCTGTTGTGGTCTCAGTTTGTGTTTTTTAACTAAAAGATGTTGGAGGTTTAGTATTTTTAATACTATTGGTCAGTATTGTCATGACAACTGTCTTTTGAGTATGAAACTGTAAAAAATGTGAAAGAATTATTAGTTTTAAGGATGTGGAGTGTTAAGGTGTACGCTAGCCAATGAGAGAGCTAGGCTAGATCATTTTTTGACCAATAGAGGAGCAGGAGGCAGGCACAGGTGCCTGCTTATGAGCACATCAGGTCGTGCATGAGGATTGAGATGGAAGGTGGGGATTGATCATGATCATTATACCATGTCCTCCATTAAACCTTTTTTTTTGCTGAAGTTGTTATTCAAATAACACAAACTTTTGTCCTCATGCACATCCACAACAACTACACCCACGCACATCCTCAGACCTCTGTCCTTATGCAGACCTGTCAATGACCGTCATACTTTAACTCCAAAGTATTACTCCACTGTCCTAAGTGTTCAATACAGTGTTGAAAAGTGTTAAAACATGACATATTTTCTCTCTAATAATAACTTCAACAACAACAGTGACCATGTGTTTTGGTGCTGATCAAGGCTACAGTAGAAAAGGCATTTATTGACAGCCTCATAATATTCTTTAGATCTAAAATCACTTAAATCGTTTCTGTGTCCCCTGTCTAGTGTGCCGGGGCTGAGACCGCTCATGGATGTAAACTACCTGCCTTTGACAGACATGCGGATAGCCAGAACGTTCTGCTTCACCAACCTGGGTCAGGCCATGTACCTCTGCTCCCCCACTGAGATTCAGAGGATCACTTACAGCCAGGACATCTGTGAAAACCTGCAGGTCAGTTCTATATACAGTCAAGTATGCTTATGCATATAATGAGTCATGGTTCAGGATTTTGGGTTTAACTTTTAATTTAAATAAAGTTTCAAATTGTATTTAAGAACTGCATATTGTACTACAAATTAAACATTTCATATTAAAGACAGTTGACATGATCATGTTAAATAACTGGAGGAAATATATTTGGGAACTGTACTGTGCTGTATACTTCATAAATACACACAGGCAGTTAAACTGAATATAGCAGGGTAATATGTGTGTTGATGTTTCAGGAGATGCTGGGTGAGCTGTTTACACCCGTGGAGACACCAGAGGCCCCTAACAGAGGGTTCTTCAAAGGTCTCTTTGGGGGCGGAGCCCAGTCACTGGACAGAGAGGAGCTATGTACGCCAAACCTACACATGCCCAGATATAAACTGGTTCAGTCCTTTGTTGATGCAACCTCTCACTCACACAGCTCTGCTTTTTTCCCCGTTCATCTCTTAACTCAGTCGGTGAGATAGCATCTGGAAAGGCAAACCGAAGTCTGGCCCAGCACATCCCAGGCCCAGGTGGCCTTGAGGGAATGAAGGGGGCAGCCTCTGGTGTGGTTGGAGATCTGGCCCGCGCCCGGATAGCACTGGATGAAAGAGGCCAGAAACTGGGCGAGCTGGATGAGAGGACAGCTGCTATGATGGCCAGCGCAGATGTCTTTTCCAAACATGCTCATGAGGTAAAAAAAAAACTGTTCTCTCTAAATTCTAATATATGGAGAGAACAGTAAACCCAGTGTGACATCAGACCAACAGACACCTGCCTAACAGAATGAAAAATAAAGTCTTGGTTAAAACAAATAGTTTACTGAGGAATAATCTTTTAAAGGCAGGAGACATTGGTAATAATATAGATAACCAGAGCTGGTTACAATATCTGTGCAATCTTTTGCAAACAGAGTTGTAGACTAAGAAAAGAAGAGAGGGAAACTGTGGGTCACAGTTATTTTATTTTATTTTTTATTTTTTTACGTTAACAACAATTACAAGCAGCCTGTCCAGGGTGTACCCAGCCCCCCTGCGACCCTGTACGCAGGATAAGCAGTTGACGATGGATGGATGGATGGATGGATGACAATTACAAGCCAATATCTTAAAAGTCATTAGATGATGAGGCATCTTTTGAGAAATGCCAATCTTGCTTAAACACACTGTATATGAACACCATCCAAAACATACAGTGCAGTGCAGTGGGGTACTGTATATCTCTGAATACTGGCTGCTCTGCCTCCTCAAGTTATTTGAGAAGTACTGTACAACTCATTTACACTATTTACCCACTAGAGGGCAGAATATGCCTGTGGAAAGTTCACAGTGATGTGGCTAGGGAGCTTACTCTAATGTTGTACATGATGTAGGCAGTCTCACTTCAGATCTTTCTTTTTTTTTTTTCAGAAATGAGATCGACAGAGATTAAAAAATGCGAGCTCAGCAGATGGAGCAGGAGTTGATGAGGGACTTTTACATTTTGAATTAATCATGAGAATCATGGGTTGCCTAAGTCACCAGTTGGAAAGGTATTCCTAATATTAATTCATGTTCTCACTCCTACATTTCCTCCATTTTCAGATGATGCTGAAGTGCAAAGACAAGAAATGGTACCAGTTCTGATCGGTGACCGGGAAGGAGCAGAGCTCCATGGACACAACTGTCACCTTCCATTGGCTCATTTGGACTCAACCTTGACCCCCCCACCCATCCGTCTGTCCATTCATCTATCCCTCCAAGCCTTCTTCACTTGGACACTTGGGATTTTCTTCCCTAGCACAATGTTGAATACTGTTCTTACCTCAGTCTTAGGGTGGAGCTGAGGGGGAGACAGGGGAGAAGGACAACCTCAGAGGGAGCAAATAAATTGTGTCTTTTTTTTGTCGTTTCTTGTTTCTTTGTTTATCTCTGTTCAGCCTCTCCTCCAAGGTAGCCAATTGGCCCACACACCTGGAGATTCTTCATTCTCATTTGCCAAAATGTCCTTTACTGTTGTCTCCACTCCGAGCCCATTGGGGCCGGTATTCAAACCGACGAACACAGCTGAAAAAAGACAAATATTTAATGAAGAAACAGACTACAAAAAATTCTTAAAATGTAAAAAGAAGGGAAAATAATCTAAATACATCATTATATATACATAAATCTAATAAATGTGCAACACTGTATCCACTTCAGAGTGACAAGTACTAAAGAAAGGGAGAACTCATCGAGGAAACAAGAGCCGGGTTTGAAGGCTGAAGGAGGCAGCATTGGAGAGCAACAGGAAGTGCTGCGACAGTGACGCCTCCTCTATGCAGAGAGTTACAGGGATAAAAGCAACTTATTCTTATGTACACTGGATATTTCACGCTAGACTCTCCTCTGTATCTTACAGATTTTCATATCGTTACCAACAGTGTGTGTGTTAATTTCTATTTTCTTGCCATTCCTCAATTTGTTATTTGTTGGGTTTTTTGCTCCGTCTGTATTATCGGAAAATCTCTTATTTTTCTATTGCTGTGAAAGTGGATGATATTTGATTTGTTAAAAAAATATGTTTTGTGGCTTTTGTCTTTACAACTCAAATTAATTTCTCCTTATGAAAAGGGCTGGAATCTAAATGGAGGGCAAGGATATAAAAGGCATATATCATTTAGTACTCACTGACATGGCAACATCAGATTTCTTGGCTCTGATATCTTAAGCACGTATGAACCACACGCGTTTTATGGTTTACCTTTCATTTATTGACCTATCTGATGTGATGTGTGTGAACTGCCTCCCTCACCCTCTAATGTCATAAGCTTCCGCACTTTGGCTTAGTCTGTGAGTGTGACTACAAATGCTGATGAGATGAAGTGTTGAATACGTTTATAGTTTAGCCAGATTTATTGGGTTTTCAGGAGTTTTTAAATTTTAGAGTACACATCAGCATGGAAATTACATACACATAAATAGAAATCCTTTCTATGTGTATTCACATATGCAGGATACTGGAAATATGGATGTATAATCCTTTAAAAAAATATATTTGAAAACATATTTCAGTTTTTTGGGACAGTTGGCTGTATGAGAAATGTCTGCACGATTTCTTAGTCAGTTATTTATTGAGGTGCGAGAGACAGTTGCGTTTGGTGTCAGAAACTTTCACCTTCATTAATATCTCGTTTCTATTTCCATATTTGCAGTGAAGCTCAAATGTGGTGTATCTCTCTGTCTACCTGGCTTTTAACCTTTATTTGTATATAAGTAAATAGTTTGACAATCTAAGACCAACTGGAAAGTAAATTGTTAAGGTTGCTCGAGCAACATAAGAGGAGAGAGGCCATATTTTTTCTGACGCCAAAGAGTTGCTTTAGCTTTTTCCATTGCGTTATTGTTTGGTCACTCAATGCGTCTCGACACCAGACAGTATACAGTAATATGTGTAATACAGTATATAGCTTCACCCATTGAGTGCAAACCCAGGATCAGGTCCATTTAGGAATATTATCATCTTTCGGCACCTTTCAGGGTTCAAGAAATGGAGCAAGTTGCAATGGAACTCAGCCATTTATAGTATTATTGTATCACAATATGTCATAAAAATGTAACATTTGGACTAATGTTTAATGTTTGAAGTGACCTAAGTGTTGGTTGAAAACAAAAACCTGAACCATTTCATGACAGGCCAGACACAACAATATTTATGGTATTCATCTGTGTGTGTGTGTGTGTGTGTGTGTGTGTGTGTGTGTGTGTGTGTGTGTGTGTGTGTCAGGGTGTATTCATGTGTGTTCAAGTGATATGATTAAAGGTTTTTGGTTGATTGATAATTAATGTTGATGTCCTAGCCTCAGCAGTCTATGTCCAGTTGAGTGTTTTGTTACACTAACTAAAGCCACCAGTGACGACAAAACGGATAACAATAGGATCATGAGAATTATACGGATGACCTTCGAAATTCTGGTTTAATTTAACTTGTGCATGTTCAGTCATTGCTCACATGCTTCGACTCTCCTTCACCTTTCAGTCTTTGTCCTCTGAATTCTCTCTTCTTCCAGTGAGTCTTCCACTGACTCTGTTGGTTCCACAGCTACAGATAGGGCCCTCTCTGTGTTTAGTAAGCATTGTTGTGTGGATGTTAGCAGGTAGGTCTTTGCCCACCAAGGTGAAGAAGAGGGGGAAAAAACAACTTCAGGAAAAATAACTAGTTTTAGCTGTAGGTCATCCCCGAAAACCTGTTCAATGTCTTTCCATTCACCAAACATTTGTGTGTTTCTTTTTTTTAATGTTATACTTTTTCCATCTTTAAGTGTGTTATTTCTTGCCCATACACTACCGAATGCAGTATTCTTACCCGATACAATCCACACATCTAAACAACATGAGGGAGTCCTGTCTATCTGCCATATGCCATCTTCTGTCCTGGATTCAACAGTTATCAGTGGGTTGCAGTATTTTTCTCATTGTAGCCAATTTTCTTGTACAGTTTTATGCAACTTTCACATGGATGTTTATGACTTTATCTGCTGCCACAAAAGTTTAGAAATTCTGTAGAAATTACTGTGCAATGGAAAATAAAAGTGGAAAATGTGTTTTTTTGTCTTAAAGCATCTTTTAAAAAAAGATTTCAGTTCAAAATGTAAAGATTTTACTCTGTTCAGATGAAAGAAAAACATATATTTCTGAATGTAATGTTGGGGTGAATATAAGGGATAGAGAGTACTGATGAATGTAATGGTGTACATAGTGTAAGCATGTATACTGTTCTTAAAGGAGAGGGTGTGAATGGGGAAACTGTCACATTTGCATCTGTACACTAGATGGCAGCAAACACACACTGTTGTCTACATGAAATTTAGATGAAGAGAGGTCAACAAACATTGCAATCATAGTATCCTATGAGTTAATATTAGGTGATCTAAGCAAGTTATATTTGACTTTATGTTAATTAAACAATACATTTATGGAAGAAGCAGAAGTTGGTCATAAAATCTGACTATAAAGCTGCAGATTTGTGAAATCTTTCAGTTTGAGCCACAGTAATAGCTTGCTATGTATTCTTATTGTGTGTTATGTGCTTTTACTGTATTGCCTCCTTTCTTAGAGCAACACAACCCTGTATTGATCACACTAAGTGACTTCCAAATGAGCTCTCTGGTTTCTTTGAAGTCATGACACAGTTGGCGAAGTGGTCAGTGGAGCTCTTGAAGCTTTTTTGCACTTGAATTACAGGCAATGGCAAAGTACCTTTAAGTGAAATATAAATGTGTTTGCTACTGGAAACATAGTAAGTCCTAATCTCAGTTGAGCTGCCATTGGGGTCACCCAGTCCTGTGTTTGCAGGGACTTATTATGTGGATCAATCACTGCAACAACCAGCGAGGCTTCCAGCATGGCTTTCCTGTAACTGTACATTCTCAGTTATTGCTTCCAGAGGTCATGTGTGACCCTGCCTGATGACTCATGGTAGTTTGAATTCAGTGCGAAAGAAGTAGTTAAGATGAAGCCAGACAAAGCAATATATTACAAGAATAAGTTATAGACTTAGAATTAAAAAAAAATAGATTATAAACCAACCCACAGACCCTATTGCACAGAAAACTATTGATTGGTGGCTAGAGGAATAAAGCAGGCTATGACTAAATGTCTGTCAATCTAACAAAAAGCAGACATACTATGATTCAATAAGTACTGTTTTTTTAAATGAAGTCTGTAAAATTGTCATCTGGTCCGCTAATCTGATTTAAGAACAAATTGACTAAATCGGAGTTGTGCTTTCCTGTAATACCGACAAATTAACAAGGAGCAGCGTTCTCTCCTCCTTTTCCAAACAAGAGCTTTTAAAATTTGTCTGCTTAGAAGATATATGTATATGTATGAATATGCAAAATCCATGTGTAAAATCCATAGTTCAATAAAGAATTATAGATCTAAGGAAAGATGCATTCACCAAAAAGTGATTAGTTATTCCAGTATTTATATACAGGAAATGGTTCTGACTCCCCTACTCCTTCCCTTGCACTCTTGCACTCTCTTCCTATGTATAATGCATAGAGGTTATGGCCTTGTGGCGTATCACCACACCTTCTTTATGTAAACAAAATGATCAAACAAAGTGGTGTCATAATTTTATTATGAGGAGTGCATGTGTTTTTCATCAAAGATAAGCTTCTGTGGCTGTGAGGGGTTGAAGGGTAAGGTAACAGGAGACTGAGAGATAGAGACAGAGGGAGGGAGATTGGGTGGGTGATGAAAAATACCCACCATGTTGATTTGTTCAATTTGACTGAAGCCATGAAGAGAAGGTCGCCGGGGAGATATGTTTGTTGATGCACACTGTTTGAACTACTGACCTTGTTAGCACACGCACAAACGCACACAGAACAACGTGAATGAACAGAGCCATGTCTGCACAGCAGGAATCAATGTGACACCTGAGGGAAACAGGAGGAGAATGAGCTGACCAAACACTTAGTTTGATTTAAACCATCCCTGTAGTCAGAAACACAAGATGTTTCATGTGTGATTTTTCTTACTATATATATTATTTAATTATTATTATAATATTTGAGAAGGTAAACCATAAACTCAGTAATGACAGGCAATGCCAGGTTTTGTTTTTAAAAACGGTCACCTTATTGTTAATAACAACTGATATGCTGAGTCAAGCCTGAAGATAAATAGCAAAATTACTAATTTAGACATACTTTCATTTAGTAGATTAAATGTAATGGTGGTCAGTAGCATCTATCTAACCATCTGTTCAGTTAGATACCACTTTGAAATGTATCCTGATCAGATCCTTTTAGACTAACTCCACTCACCTAGTGTTTTATCTAGGGAATAAGATATGGGCCTGTCTCATTCACAGCAAATTTTAAATGTAGCTGTTAAATGTAGCTGGTTCTGGCAGACAACTCCAGCACAGTTCACACATGGCACACTCTACAAACTAAAGTAAATCCAACACACCTTTCGCAAGAAGGCAGCCTATTTGAGCCTTCCCTGTCCAGTCTTTTACGCTGCTGACCTGCTTTTGTACTTTTCAAACTGTGCTGTAATTATTTCACACAGGCTTGCTGTTAGCCTGTGTGTTGAGCCTGTAACTTTAGCACTTCATAATGAAGCTTGCTTGCTAACAGTCCCATCATTTTGCTTTAGGGGAGAATAATCCCATAGATCTTTTTATGGCATACAGCATAATTACTAACATTAATTATGGCCGCATTGTATTAAGGTTAAACATTTTTAGTGCTCTACTATTACATGTTCACTAACTGGCGCGGCTTACAGGGACACTTACTGGAACCCAGCCATCATTAACCAAATTAGTTTCACCTGTGCCTTTCCTGCTGTTAAAATTAACAGTTAACTCTGACTCTATAGTTGGTACTTCACTATTTTTGAGTTATATCAGTTGTTAAGTAAGACAGATTCACTTCAAGCCAGAAGTTGGAGTTTGCCAACTTAACATTAACACAATAATTTCCCTCTAATATTGGCTTCATGACAAAACTCAACATTGTCACACATTCATTGCATTTTCTGCAAGCACTTCTTATTCAGTTAATGTTCAGGCTTTATGTATCAACTTCCTTCTCTGCTATTTACATCATATTGCATCTAACTGCCAAGCTCCTGTTTTTCTGTCTGCACTGCCAGTCCTCAGCTTGCATAAAAAATGTTGTCTGCTTTTTGTTGTGAAGTTCTATGTATCCTTCCTTTGCCAGGGGCATAGGTATAGACAATGCAGACAGTGCAGCTGCACTGGGGCCGAGTAACTTGGTATCTAGCTGCAGTACCGGAGACTGCAGTTTCAGGACCGGAACTGCATTTGTAGGACCCTTGTTTACTTTGATACTGTATTCTTGACAGCCCCCCGAAGCCAATTACCCTTATCCTAACCATCACAGTGTGTGTGCCTAAAGTGATTATATGCATGTATCCGGTTAACCCTACAGCAGACAGGGTTAGCCTCCTTCGTGTTGCTTTGTATTACCACTACCAATCCACTAGATGGCGCTGTCGCAAACGAGCTACGGTCCCAGGATTGCGGGAGTCCTGAAACTGTAGCCAGATAATGCTGCTGGGGCCCGCACAGTAAGGGGGACCGGTGGCGGGAGCGGCCCCGCCAGGTTACCAGCTGGACTTTCTCAGTTACATGATAAAAATGTGTTAAGAATTAATATTCAACAGCTTGCTTCCACTTTAACTCAGGTTAAAAAATTAATAGAAATCAAGTCATATACACTCAAATACGCATTTCCCCCTTTGCCATGGTGTGTAACACCACACACTTTTGCGGTCAAACTACTGACTGCAGTCAGTATTCTGTAGCAAGCAGGTGGCTATAAGATATAAGGTGAAGTATCAAAAAATGTATTCCACAGATACCACAGAAAGAATTTAGTCTTATTTTCTTTGGTATTGGTCTCACATAGCCCACTTATGCAGTGATGATTGCTGGGTAAAATATGTATGGTTGCCCAATCTTAAATTTCTATTTGATCATGTGACAAGACTCCAGAAACCGGGTGAAACGCAAAATCTGACAAGTAGACTAGCAGAGTGCCCGAACAAGCTAGCAGTCATGCTATTCACACAAAAGTAGTTTCAAGAAGAGACAGGTGAGAAAAGAACAGGAGGAGAGGGTCGCAAAGCTCCCAAATAAGATTGTTTTAGATTTTTTTTTACTGAGGACATTATCAAAGATTTTGCTCAGTGCAAGGCTCATGGACAACATTCAAATAGGTGAGAAACTTTACAAGTGCTTTTTCAGTGGATTTGGTGTGGCTGCCATGCCCCTGTTTAAAATGCTGTTATCAATTTGGGGACAGGACCAGCTGAACACTTGTTTGTGTGGATGTGTTTGTTTAGCTTAGCTGACCTGTTTTCAGGATATGGTGGTGTTTATGAGTAGGCCACTTTTCTTTCTTATTCACCATAATGTCTTGCCTCTCTGTCTGAGAGGAATGTTGTTGCTGTGATTAGGGAGGTTATTATAAGTTACTGAAAATGCCTGAAAAGTCTACATCATTTCAGCTGCACTCAGCTGTTTGTAGTAACCAATGACAGCACTGTCCATGCTCATTTATAACCTGCTCTTTGACTTCTGTACTTTGCAAATACAAAAGTCTAGGTGACACACCCCGACTCTAAAATCCATCTCATGATGGTAGCCTACTTTAGACTGCTGTGTCCGGACGCACGCAACACAGCTGCAGCAGCATCCTGTGTGCGTGTGTGTGTTGGAGAGAGACGCACACATGAAGAATGGCTGAGTTAGTATGTGAACAACTTGTGGATACAAAAATAAAAATACAGTGACTATTCATGTCTCAGAAGTTACTCCTTACAGTAACAAAATACTGTAGGGAGGATTAAGTTTGGAAACATAATGACTATGCTTACAAAGACCAAGGCCAAAAGGATGACTTTATGTTGACTGTTTGTACAAGCAGATAAGGGGGAAAATACGCAATTAAATGGTTCCTCTGGATATTGTTTCATCTCTAGTTCTATTCGAAAAATATGCAGCATATCTATCTGATTTGAACCAATTAAATTTTCAATTGCTGCTAAAAAGGCATCT